ATTGTCACAATGTCAAGTTTATAACAAAATAGAACCCTATATAGAACAATTTTCAAAAACGTTTTATATAGAAGCTTATGCAAGCACATTTCACCATCTATCATGCAAAGAACCATTTAAGCATGAAATGATTTTATATAGAATTTATGGTTCTAAATAGAACCATTCCCTTTACTAAAGAACCCTTAAAGAACCACCTTTTTCAAAGAGTGTTGTACTGTTTTCGTTTAGATAAAGTGGATTTACAAATCACTGCTTTCTTTTTCTACTTGCTTTTTTACATACTGTCTCAACTTTTTTGGAGTTGAGGTTTGTAAGAACAATATTTACAACTAAAGCAAATTTTAAACTTTTCATTATTCAATATAGTAATGAAAATAGAAGGAATGGGGGATTGCTGAAATATCCTTGACTCAGATATTCAGTCAAATGGGATAATAGTGTGTTTTGCACTGTGTGCAGTATCTGAGCTTATTTGTGGCATTACAGTTTAAAGGTTATGACAAAACTAAAATATTAAGAATTTCAACTAATATATTGCCCAGTACGACTTACCAGTCAATCAAATATGTCTCAAACTAACAGTCCTGCACCAGTGAGTAAAAAGCACTAAACTGAAACTAATCTCTGTTTCAAAATAGCTCTCCAGGAACAGAGTTGGAAGCCCCTGGACATTTGTATGCCCCATCACCCCTCTGCACCTGTAATCCAGAGCAAACAGTTCCTGGAAGTATTTTTCCAGGAACAGAAAAATGCATTGGATCCAAGAAATAAAACCATGCAGCTCAGTAGGCAACTGAATTAGCTTTTTACCTCAACTAATCCCAAACTGAACTACATTCTTATGTCATCAAAAAGGCATTTTCAGTTCTGAACCCGTAAGGTAAAGAAGAACAGTAAATCTGTAGCTTTACTTTTCTCTTTTATGGTTTAACACCCCCCCTCACTCCCAAACGTGCCAAAGCTCATTCAATTCACACAATTTTATATGGTACTTTATCGCTCTCCAAGGCATAAGCAGAAGAAGTATATACATTCATAGAGTAAATCAATCTCCAAATTCGTCATGCCCTTTTGAGTCTTCATGAATTCAATACAGCAAACAGTCTATTATGTACATAATTCATGAGATCTCTCCAATTACAGCTGAATGAGAGTGAGGGAGAAGAAAAGACATATCGAAGTGGAATGAAAAAAGATGCACAGTCAAGATAAGGGGGGGAAATTCAGGGCTTAGCTGTAGAAAAGGCTGTGTACACATGCATATTTGCAGTTTTTTGACTTTCTCCATCTGGATTCACTCTGTCAGCCCCAATGAGCTCACGCCTGCGTGTATTACACTGAGTCAACGCACACTATCTCCAGAAAACAGCCCAGAGAACGCCGAGAGAACACTTAAGCCTAACATTTACAATCACCTTAGAGTTAACCCAGCCACAGGGATTGGGCCCAATCCACTAAAACACCAACAGACTCTCTTCAAAGACTAACACAGCACATATCGTATAACTACACTCAGGCAAAGCTCTTCTGGCCCAGGGCTAAAAGAGGCAGCAAGGCAGAGGAGAGAAATCATCCAGATCCTGGCAGATGGAAGATTCACTATGTGACTGGACATTTTTGAGTGAGGAATCTGAAGCTAAAGTTGAGTTTCTTGGCATGTGCCTTCAAGATGTCCTGAAATGAAGCCAAGGATGAGAACGAGTCAGATTCCCTCCCTGCTGGCCCAAGAGCATTGTTTGAGGAACCGCAGCTGAGATGCGGCACTTGTCACGTGATTGAACAGCAAGAACAAAATTTTCACAGCATAGGCCCTGTTTACAGAACACAACCCAGAGCGCACAGACTACAACGCAAGATGTCACAGACAGTTAATCATAAGCCGTCTTAAAGGTTTGCGGGATTTGCCATTATAAACATCAAATACTATTTTCCACAAGTTTATAGGTTGAATTAGCGAATTCAGATACTTTAAGGTGTGGCCACTGCTGACACAGGTGTCCAGCTTGTATAATCTCCAGAAAAGCATTGGAACTGTGTTCTCTGGTGTGATATAACACCATCCAATACCTTTGGGATGAGTTGGAGTGATGTTTGTGATCCAGAACTAATCATCCAACAGCGGTTCATGACCTGACTAATGCTCTCATGGCCAAATACAATCAGATATTTACAGCCTTCTCACAAGAGTAGAGGGTGTTACTGCTGCAAAAGGGGGAACAAACTTCCTATCAACTTTGGATGAACAGGTGCCTGTAAACTGTGAGAGAGTATCTACAATAGGAATGATACAGAATTTCTGAACATTTAAGTAGCTATGAAAAAAAAAAAAAGAATAGTAAATTAGGATGTTTGATGTGAAAATTAGCTTCCTTCTAAGGTTATACATGCTCATATTGAGGAACCATGAGATGTCTGAACGCTATGCTTCACCAGAGGGCAGTGTAGAGTGTGTAGAGTAGAGGTCCTGAGCTGTGTAGTTCAAAGTAGGAAGCACAGAAAGACTGCTGCAGTCATCTAAAGGCCACCACACACCTGATTACAGACACCAGGGTTACAGCAAAGTACCAATAAACAAGAAGCTGAAGTTCACCTTACACTCTATTCATTTACTCTTAATTTATTGGGGGGTGGGGATGTTCACTAGCATTTGGTGAGTTTGGTATCAGCTCACAAACTCTGCCTCTGAGCTAAAAGGTATGAAGTACGATGTGAGTAGGCCAGTCATGCTAGCTGAGGTTAAAACAGCATTAGCATTTGTCTGTGTTAAAGACTTTAGACTGGCTGTCTTACTTGGTGTAAATTTCAAACCGTATGATAGAGTACCAAAAAATAATTAAAACAAAGAAATTTAACAGCTCATCAAAATTTTAAACTATCACCAACATGCCCCTCGGCCCCTTTTGAAGGTCTTCTTTCATTAAACCATTGTCGATGATCATTACGCATCTTGGTATGTCATATTTATCCTTGAATTCTTTTAAATAATTAAAGATTTTTCACAAACACATGCTATTTTGTGATCTTTTGTTTTGTATTTTTCTGAGCCAAACCAGATTATGGAATAAATAAGCAGAGCTCTGTAGAATCAAGACATGAACGCACAAAATATTGAAAAGTGAATCTTGATCTCAGTACCAAAAATCGTATCAAATCTGAAAAAGTGTATCATTACACCCCTGGGAGTCACTGGCAGAAACTGCAATCTAGTCAACATTCTCATTTAACTTGTGTGTATACAGTAGCCAAGCTGCCAGACTCAAAGGGCTGTATCAGTGAGCAGGGCATTAAGGGCATCGAACCGAGCAATGAACGACACAAATAAAGAATGGTTTTGGACAGAAAAGAAACAAAACATCAAATTGCTTCACATTGCTCATACGGCTGTATGCACTGCTGCAGGTAGGCTATTTAGTTAAGAACTGTCTCACATTCCAAATGCATAACACAGCTAGATATCTCTGATCATCTAAAAGTAGAGATAATGGTAGCCCTCTGCTCACAGATTAGAGCTTTACCTTATCTGTAAGGTGGGCTACAGAAGGAGTAAAACATGCCTGACTTTCCACAAGTCAGTCTGAGAGGCACTGAACACTGAACATAATGACACAACGCTCTCAGCCAAAATAATTCATCAAAACTGAGTGAACGTGTCTGATTCTAAAAGCAACAGAGAAAAAGAGCAGCAGTTGCTCACTTGCATAAATGTGGTAAACAAATAAGCTTACACATTCAAAACCAGGGGCCTGAACTAAACCGAACAAACAAGCCAGACTCATAACTTATGACAATGCAGCCTGTTCAGTTTCATTTATAAGCTGAAAGACCAGGTACACAGGTATGGCATCAGAATCTCGCTACATATACCACAGGACGTGCCATCACTGACACTAGCTAATCCCGATAGCTAGGATTAATAGCTTCCCAATTGTAAAACTAATACCTGAGAGCTCCCCGAGGTCTCTAATAATATCAAAATGAAATTTAAGGGTCTCTGTCAATGTGAACAACTTATACTACTCTTTATGGAAGCAGTGAAAGCCTCACCAAGAAACCTTATACAGAAAAGTATTAAGTAAATATATCCCATTTGTGTGGTTATTAGAAATGCCCAAGTAATCCTGCCTGCTCTACATTCAAACTGGTCTTGCTACACCCCCTAGTGGCAGCCTGTTCACATCAAATAAGATTATTATTGCAGAGGTTTCAAGTCCAGTCCTGGGGACCCAGTGTCCTGCACAGGTATCCTCTGCTTCAAAACACCCTGATATGACTAATTAAAATCTTGACAAATGACTGATGAGCTGGATCAGGCATTGGGGCAGGGAATAGCTGAAACTGCAGGGAAACTGAAAACACTGCTTTATGGGAGTCGAGCACATAGAATACATTGAGCTACATCTTAATGTTTATTTGCAATTCTTATGCCACCACAAACCACAACTACTGGTAGACTGTAGTAGTATAAAGTGTTTATTTTACTGTTAAAATTTAATCAAGTAAACTTATTTATCAGCAGAAAAACATGGAAATCATTGTGATAGCACTTAAGTTAAGAGCACTTAACTCAGTTATGCTGTATCTAATGCTACATCATGAATAAATTCAAAGGCAGATTCAACTGTTAGCTGAAATTGTTATATCATACCCACTTTTAACAGCCTCAGCTTACTCTAGCTTGTTAGGTAACCAGACAGTGTCTGATGTGTTAAGTCTGCATCTCAGACATTTAACTACAGAAAAAATTGCAAACCACATTTAAGGATACATTGTAATGTGTGCTTAGTCATAAAGCTGCCTTGTGGGTCACAAAGTTGAGACAGTGCTTTACACTCTTGGGGTGGGGGCAGGTGGCAGTGCTATGACCAGGGATCAAGGTTCTGCCCATCATTCAAAGTAAGCCAACATCCTCCCAGTATCAAACAGATTCTAGACTGGTATCTATGCTGTCATAGTTGCCATCTTCAGCCATTTAATGATCAGAAGTCTTAATATGTCAGCACACACACACACCAAGTCTGCATTTATTTGCTTGCTTTATTTTCCATATGTGACAACTATAATCACAATGAAAGGGCCTACTGAAATGCTAGTCGGAACACGGCCCATTGAGAATAAGCGAACAAAATTTAATTTACATTTCTTTTTACAGGAACTTCAAGTGCAGTTTAATTTCACCCAGAGCAGGGCAAGGCAAATCACAGGACTTCTGCTGGTTTGGCACCAATTTGATCCAAAGGGTACCTTCTGCGGCAGCTGCATTAGGCCAGTGCAGGGAAATCCTCTGGGTCATCTGGGTTTGGAGCCTGAGGGAATAAAAGCCTCACTCAGCTATGGTGCAATGCACCAACTCTCAGCTTAATGACCATTTTACAAAGTTCTGTTGAATGTTCAGACACCTTTCACATCCAGCTGTATAAAACTCATGCACTGTTAATTTATCAAACGTGATGTTGCAGCTGAAGTGCCACATTTGCCTCCTCACTGAGCTTATAATCAATTCACAAGAACTGGAGCAAGTCTTTTGCACTGCTGTGTTATCCATCTAACAGACTCTTTTCAGTGCTGGACAGACCACATTTCAGTCAAGGCAAGCCAAGCTGGTCTTGCCATTTGACTACACCTAAATAAAGTTTACAGATTGCCAAACAGAACTCGGATAACTGCTGACAAAGTTCCACAACAGTCATCACAAATAGTTTTGCTGCCAAGTGTGTAGAAGATGCCAGTTTTTGGGACATATCTAGACACCTCCAAGCAGCAGACAAGTGATGGTAAAAATAGACACTAACCAGTTCAACTTACCAGTTTAAACACTCAATTTGCCATTCATAGGGAATCAGTTCAAGCCATTAAGTGCAATTCATTAATAAAAACTGCATAAATTAATTAGGGAGTCCATGACTCAGCAATGTACACTAGCCAAATTATGTTCAGGTCTATATTCAAGCAAGCTTACCGCTTCAGCATATTTCTCAGGTGATCTTTGGGGAGCAGCTGCCCCACGGCCACGACCCCCTCGTCCACCTCTTCCCCCTCGAGAGGGCCGGGCCAGACTACCAAAGTTTATCTCCAGCTGAAAGGTGATGTCATTTGCAGGACGCCGAAAGACTACATCATCCTCACTGATGCCATCTGCATGCTCCTAAAATAAAAATGGAATCAGTCTTCACAACATATTGCAAACACTTGCCAAGAATACTAATTTGCTTACATCATTATGATGGCCTATTAGGAAAATGATGCAACTTGCCTCAATATGTTTGGACTTGTGTATCACCACAGCTTTGGAGGGCAACTTGGTGTCTGCCTTTCGGATGTTAAACTCTGTCTTGGGTCTGCTTTGCTCCTGCATAGTCTTCCATTCATCCAGAGACATCTCTATGGCAACCTCAATCACTTCTTCATTCTCAAGAGGCCTGCAGGAACAGAGTTTCTCATCTTCTGGCAAGATACCCATTTACACCTTAATGCAAGTTTTAGCCAATTTGACGGTCATCTTAAAATTTCACAGAAATGTCAGACTTACTGGTTTTCTCCATCATTCTCTGCAGTATCTGGTGCTTCCTCACTTTCAACAATCTCCTCATTGGGTAGTGCATCAGCCACTGCACTGTTAGATCAAATGAAAAATGAGGGCTGTGTCAAGATAAACTGCCTTATACAAAGTATACATGAGTAAACATTACTGTAAATCAGCCCTTTGCAAAACAAGAATCTTACCTTACATGATCCCTCATTGACCCCCAGTTACGAGGTCCACTGCCTCCCCTCTTCTCTTCAGGACGAACACTCCTGCTTGAAAGTCAACTCAATTCAGATAATTCAAATATTAAGATGACAAAGCTAGATAGGCAGAAGGGCCTAAGTAAGCAATGGTATTTAGTCGACATCAATATTAGAATTAACAGAGCTTCCAGGACTTACCACCAAGTGAGCTGCAATAAGAGACCTTAATTCTACATTTAGCGCTAGAGAAACAGAACTCTACTGGAAAATGGTGTTTTTCTTACGCTCGGTCACTACCACTGTGGCGCTCAAACTCCCTCTTTCCCCTTGGATCAAAGCCGTCACTGGACCTGGAATATCCAGCACCTCGTGCCCCACGCCCCCTTCCACCTCCTCTTCCTCGTCCAGCTCGGTCAAAAAGCTCTATAGGCCTATGAAGGGGTTCATATCAGTCATCAAAGAGTATGGCAACAACCAACAAGATTACTGTAAAAAATTAAAATCTGACCAAAGCAGTGGTCACCAATCACCCGGTCATGGGGATCTACCTTCCCCAGAGTCCAGCTCCATCTGCCACTCTTGCTCCAGCTAATTAACTTCTGAATTTCTTGCATTAGTATTATGCAAGGGAGAGGCAGCACAATAGATGTTAGAACTAAACTCTGCAGGCCAGATCTCCAGGGAGAGGGTTGGTGAACACTGAACATTTGTCCAACATACTCTGCATAGTTCAACTAGGCCCTGCTTTAAAAAAAAAGGTGAGGCGTGAAAGCATTAAATATCACAATTAACCTAAATTTACAGTTTCTCTAATGTTGTTCACAGTTCATCAGCAAAAAAGTGTTTCCTGTCTCGCGTGCTTCTTTAGTTCTACAACAGAGCTACAAGATCACTAAAATTAGACAGGCAAGAGGAAGTTTTTCGACCTAGACTTCCATTACTGTAGATGCAGGTGCAAAACTACAGAAGCGAATGTCAAACATGCCTTGGCTGACTGATCATGTAAGGATAAAATTGTGCATTTGATTTTTTTTTAAAGGAAACATTCCTTTAAACCCAGCAGTTTGTGCTGCCAATATAGAGCCAGGTCCCACTCACTATTTGTAGCTCTGAGGAAACTTCATCTAATGTGTAAACAGCAAACATTTTTCTTACCACATTACAGGGTTCGCATGCATGTGGGAGGAAGGAAACAGTTGACCATTAAGCACACATTCATATCCAAAATGCTTACCTCTCGATGGAGTACCCCAGGGAATCATCACCCTCATTGAACCTGGGTTCATTAAAGGCAACACGTCTCTCCACTCTCTCCTCAGGCGGACCACGAGCAGGACGTCTTGGGCCTGGTTAAAATCAAATAAAAAGGCAGTGGATACAAATAACTAAATGAAAGGATCTACACACAGTACTATCTACAGCACAGGTTTCCATCCTTGGCACTGGAGTGCCATCTATCCTGCATATTTGTGTTAGGTTAACCTGCTCTAACACAGCCACTTCAACTCAGGAAGGGCCTGTTAGCGTTAATTAGCCGGTTGGTTGGATCAGCTGTGTTGGGAGCAGGAAGAGACTGAAAAGTCCAGGGGCCGGAAACCACTGCTGTACAGCAGGGACATCCAATCTTACCCTCAAAGGGGAACTGTGGCTGCAGGTTTTCATGCCAACAAAGCATGAGCTCGCACAATCAGTTGTTTATAGCCTGAGCAACTGATTGATGGCTAGTTTCATATCCCACACAGTGCTTGATCATTTTCATCTCATCCATTAAATCCAAGAGTGGCTAAAGAGCGTGTCTCACTTAGTGTTTGTCACATGGGACTAACAAACAAACAAACAAACAAAAACAAAAAACATTCATCCAAAGCAAAACTAGGTTATACACTTTCAACACGTCAGCCCAATTAGAACAAGCTACGGGTTATATATGGTCCTTTTCACACTAAACGCCAGTCAGTTGAACTAATCTGACAAGAACAACTCAGGTTAGCAAGTCTAGCCAAACGGCTAAAGCAGCCTTAGCCTACCTGCTACACCCCTGTTAATATTCACACCACTGTCACCGGCTGTACGAAGAGGAACCTTCCTCTCTCTTTGGGACTCCTTCTTCCCAGTCTTCGCAGGGGGAGCGGGGGGCTTCTTTATCTCCTCTTTCTTCTTCTTTCGCTCCTGCTGCACTTGCGCCTGGTGCAGGAGGTCGAAAGGATCCGACTCATCATCCAGAAGCTTCCCGAAGCGGTTAGCCACGGCGCACCCGTACCCGTACCCAGTGTCGGGCATCTCCTCAATCAACTCCTTCATCCCAGCAGCAGCAGGCGGCTTAGAAAGACCTTAAAACCATCGAGCGGTTGTAATTAAACAGGTACAGACTGTGTGTAGCTCCAGAGAGTTAGAGAGCACCAAGAACCATCTCTGGTGAGGTTTTTCCGAGAACATGAACTTTGTCAGCGGATGAATAAGTCACTCAGGCTCATTACAGAGAACGCAACCCAAACGGCGGTAAATTTATAAGCAATTAAGTCCCGCCCCCGAATCGGCGCTTAATTCACAGAAAGAGGCTGTGATTGGCTGAACGGAACTTATTAACGCCGTCATCTACCAATCAGAGAGGGAGGCCTTTGGCTGGACCTTCAATGGTTCTTATTTATTTTCACAACTAAAGAGTACTGATACCTGCTGTTCACTTAATACAACTCAATGGGATTACTTTACTATATACTTTACTATAACACAAACTGACTTTATATATAGGTATACTATCCATCTATATATATATATATATATATATATATATAGAGGTATACTATCCATCTACTTTTAAATTAGTTTCAACATTATGTTCCTTTCATTTTACTGCATTGCAATCTTATTTAAAAACATAGCATGATCCAACTATCAGCCTATGTATTGAGAATGCAGGATGTTGGCTTATACTCAAATCAGATTGGTCCTTCACTCTTTACCCAGGCCGACCGATTAGAACCAAACTCTTTGGAAAAGAATGTAAACAAACAGTTATTAAAAAAAAGAGATGTCCATCTCCAGTCCAGTAACTTACTGTATACTGTTTCCTGTACCGTTATATACTGTATACTGCATGCGAATCACCATCACGTACCATGTGCCACACTACTGAGCAGGAATCTGTTCCTTTCATTTTACTGCATTGCAATCTTATTTATAAACACAGCATGGCCCAACTATCAGCCTATATATTGAGAAAGCAGGATGTTGGCTTATACTCAAATCATATTGGTCCGTCACTATTTACCCAGGCCGACTGATTTGTTCAGAGAAGTTACAGACACGTCTGCTGGTTATGTTACGCTGCACAGATTCTCAAAATCAAAAGTAAATTTGACATGAAATGTGTACAGGTGGGAGTCATGAAAAGAACAAATGCTCAAAGTGAGACTTTCACAGAGCTTTATTTGGATCAACAGTCATACAAACCACATGTTCCATTTGCCATCTGTAGCCGGAGGCCAGCAGGGATGGAATTGGCTCTGTTCCACGCGCTCTGCTTTGTTAGGTACCAGGCCTTCAGGCACCTGCATGTCAGCCAGTGGCAGGTTCTGTTCAGTGGAGGCTTTTACTGGCTTTCACTGGGTTTCTCCTCCCATAACTGTCAGATGCTGCCATACAATAAGGGAATTAGCTGTGAGTAAATCATAAGAAAGCAGAGAAGAAATTGTGTCATCATGCAACTTATCAGCATTTTTTATCATAAAACAACTGACAGCAGGCAGATTTATTAGATAAGATTATTGTATAGCTGACAGTGACTAATGAAAGATTAGGCAGGCAAAATGAAGGTGGATTTGAACAGGCTTCCCCTTCATATTTGTCCTAATGACTAAGTGATGTGGCCTAAAAATTAAATCAAAATATAAATAATGAAAATACAGTGAAATAAATCTGTATCAGAACATGAGTTGCTTGTAAGAACATGACAACACCCAAGACGCCGATCCCATATTGTTGCTTAGTTTTATCTACAACAGCTTTTCAAATGAAGAGAGAACCTATTAGTTTGACAGTTTTGTCAAATTTGTGAGATAGTGTTTAATCTTTATTTTCAGCTCTTTTAGTCATAAAAAGCCCAAGGCTAATTCCCAACTAATGCAGTACAGTAACAGGGTATGATGCAATTCGGCACCAAAGCTCTGTAAGAACTGTGAGGCTTCACTTGCGTATCAAAATACTGGGATACCATTAGGACACTTTTAAAATAGAAGCTTTTAGAATAGACACTTCAGTCACCATGACTATGTCCTTTTGGTTGAATTATGTTCTGTGCTGTACACATTACTGAAGAGAACCAAACTCTTTGGAAAATAAAGTAAACAAACAGTTTGTTATTTTAAAAAATCAGAGATGTCCATCTCCAGTCCAGTAACATACTGTATACTGTTTTCTGTACCGTTACATACTGCTTGCTACCCACCATCACGCACCATGTGCCACACTACTGAGCAGGAGTCTGACTACACTCTGCCAAACTCAGAGGCTGAAACAACTAGACCAGCCTCATTTTGTCAGCCATCCAATCACTATTTAATGACTGCTAGCCATTTTTCATTTAACAATGCATCAGTGTTTCCTGTACAACGGTATTTTCAAATTTTAATTCTGGATATGCTCAAAGGATGTGCCTGGGAAACTTCCAAACTTACACATGTTTTCTTATGTTCGCTAAAAGGTGAGTCAGTTCATTTGCTGTTGAAGGTTACTTGGTACTATAAGGTAGTTTGAGTGAATAATAAGCAGTGTGTATGAATGAAAATACTCATATAAAAACCTGAACATAAAGCTGGCATGTTAAAAGAACTATCAAATTTCTGTTCATTTGGAATGGGAGGCAATGTAAAGCTGCTGAAGTAGCATTTTTCTTTATATTTTTCGGTAATTTATGAATACATATAAATAAGGCATACTGAATATATTTTTATTAATAACCAAAAAATGGACCAGGACCATATAAAACAATGTCTGGGGCTAACAGTTCGGTTACATCCATGTTTACATCCCCTTGTACTTCACAGTATGTAGTTAATGATTTCTGCGATCTGCAGATCTTTTCCAACATCTTCCATGGCTGAAAGATCACAGACCAGAATATACTCTCACATGACTTTTCAAGTGTGACTTCATACTGTTTCCGTTTTGGGTTTTCGCAAGAATACTGCGTGCACTTTTAAAAGAAAGGTTCCTAAACAGTTCTTAGCTTGGATGTACAGTTCTAGGAAAAAACTTTTAATTAGTATAGAACCTTTGTGTTATGTGAAGAATCTTCAAACTTTAAAAATATTTTTAAATTTAAAATATACATTATCATCATGCAAATTACCAAAAAGTCGTTATTTAATTGACTTTAATTGCATATTCATGACAGCCATACACTTATAAAAATAAAGGTTCCTGGTCTGTTTCCATACGTACTTGGATCCTTTACACTCAAACCTCTCCTTTACAAATATGTCTTTAAAGAACCATCTTTGACATGTTCTTCAGGGAAACTCTGCCTGGAGTGAACCCCTCTGGTACAGTGTAAGCTCAAAAAAAAAAAGAAAAAAAAAAAACAAGGCTTTTTTTTCTGTTTAAAGATTTAATTTCCATTGAAGTACTTTAAAATATCTGAAAGACTATGCCTGATTAGTTATTATCTAGTTATGTCCATTTTTACTGTTTGGTCTTTCTTAAAAGCTGATGAACAGATTAGTTTTCAAAACAATAGGTACATTACTTCATTAATGTAATTGATAGTGGCAGCACAAGATGACTATTTTCTTTGAAAACTTTATAAGCCTCAGCCTGGATCTCCAGTTTCAAGTGACCAATCACGCACTGACAGTGCTCAGACTTACTCAGAGATCTATCACACACTGTACAAGTACAACACCTAAATGGGCAAAAAGTTACAAAACAATCACACACAAAAACTGTTAACACAATACATTAGCTGTAAGTCTATAGCATCTTCTCATCTGTTTTCCAATAAAATACTCATGTGAACTATTTCTGATGAAAGCAAACTAATTAATCATTTAAACAAGAGAAAATAGGAAAACAATGACATTTTAACCAATATTTAATATAAAATGTTCTAAATATATTTTAATGTGCCATTTAACATATGCACAGGCATGTCAATATACTGAAATATATGTAAATATAGTGCCTATTTGACTATTTGACACACATATATGAGTATATCTATATGTTGGGAAGATGTCTGCAACTGTCTTACTGCTATAGACTTTTCCTTCACCTGCAGTTTCTTCTTGATGTATCTGCTACAGCCCGAGTCAGTTTCCTCCAAAGGAAAAACAGTGGTAGACGACTGATAACAGTTTGTTGGCGCTTAATTTTACACCAGTCAGATTCTTTTTGCTGCAGAGCGCCGTTAATAAAACTCCTCTGTGCGCAGTTTTATCAGCGGTTACATTCACAAAAACGCGTCACAGCGGAGACTCAGATCACGATCACCGCCCCGTGACAACGACTACAAACACCACGCCCTGCTTACCGGCGTGAGGAGGAAGTTTTGATTTTCCTCGGCGGAAATACGTCACTTTCTATTTCAAAATAAAAGTAATGATAACTATTATTATTATCATTATCATTATTATTATTATTATTATTATTGTTGTTGTTGTTGTTGTTGTTGTTGTTGTTGTTAGTAGTAGTAGTAGTAATAATAATAACAACAACAATAATAATAATAAGAAGAAGAATAACAATAATAATAATTGTATTACTATTTTTATTACTATTGTTATACTTATTAATATTATTATTATTTATATTTTATATTTATCCTTTTATTGAGGATACCTTGTTTCGTTATATATCTTCCACCTTGTAAGCATGACTTTGGCTTATAACAGTGATTGTGTCACAAAATTCTCTGCAGAAAGACATGTGTTTGAAATTCTGCACCAGCTGTATTATTCTATTGTTGTATTCAAGTATCCACTAATTATTCACTCCAATAACCAAGAAAGGAAAAATAAAAAATACTAGTTTGGTGTTCAGCTCCAGTTTACTGAAATGCTGAATGCATTCAGCTGTGCACATTGTCCAATTTACTGTATAATGTAAACAAGGATCGTAGCAGCTGTGTGAGAATGCATCCATGTGCATTACCAAAGTCCTGGCATTACTTTGGACACTCAAATAAAAATAATAAAAAAATAAAAATAAAAATAAAAATTTGCCATAACAACATTTGTTTTAGACATATCTATTTACATTGTAAATTGTGAAAGACTACTGATACTTGAGGGTGGATGGATTTTTTTATACTATCTGGCTGAACAAAGAACAAAGTTTGACAACCAGTTTAGGTTAATGCTATATTACTAAAGCTAGCTAGCACTAGCTGGCTCTAGATAAGTGACTAGCAGTCAGCATTTGTTGAGCGCCTTAGGGAATCCCTATGTTTGTGTGAGGTATTCATGTAATGCAAGCTGGGTATTGTAGTCACTTTTTTACTGTAGACTAAAACAGGAAACAAAACAAAGTCATGAATTCTGTCAAACCGATGAGGCACAGGCGGGCAGTGCTGCTGTACAGAACAACTTTAAATGCTAGTTTAGCTCGATTGCTTCTTCAAGACTATAAACAATCTACCCTACTAAACAACTAATTGCTATTTCTATTTTATCTTTGTTTCTGCTTTAAATCTATTGTTCAGTCAACTAAGGTAGTTTTTATTGTATGTGGTAATGTTTTAAAATTGTAGGTTTTTAGAATTTTTAAGAAAAGGGTTGACTCATCCCCTCAAATGGAAGATAGACAGGGAGAGTTATGGATCCCTTACAGGTAACAAATGACAAGATATGGCAGCTCACTTTGAACACTTCTCAAAAGAATAATTAAAAGTAATTCAAACTACTTTAATATTGTACAAAGTTAGTAGTCCAATGATTCCCGTGAAAAGTTTCAAACATTCAGGTATCTTTCACAGTCAAACCCCACTGCATCCATAATTAACAATACATTCAATCTGTTACAGCTGTAGTAGGGGTTAGCACAATGAATCTTAGACATTTAAAACAAAGACTAGCAGCAACCAGGAATATAGCTACAATGCTGATAATAAATTATGTGTGCACATTCAACAGAACTACATGTTCATTTTCAGCCAGACTGAGGTTGCTGAGTTCAGTTCTTGGGGGAGTCTTCCTGGGCCTCTTGTGACTGTGGCTGTGGACTCTGAGGAGGGCTCTTCACAGCAGGAGTGTATGTAATAGGCACCACTCTCTCCTTCTCACCTGGAGAGCTCTCTCTGGGCGCCTGTATCTGCAGCTGACCGTTGTTTAAAGAGCAGGTAACTGACTCAGGATTGACACCTTCTGGAAGGTCAAACTCCTGCCGGAATTCCTGGCATCTGTATGAGTAGGATCCTTTGCCGTCGTCCTGCTTTTTCTCCGTTTTCCCACTCACTCGCAGCTTCCTGCCCACTTGCTTGACAGACAGCTCCTCCGGGGTGAAGTCTTTAGTGTCCAGCATCAGTGCAAAGCGGTCACTTTCTTTTCCCAGCTGGAATGAGATAGGCTTGAAAGTTACTGAGGCAGGGACGTGGTCGATCTCGTCGAAGATCCTCCTGTGGAGGCGCTCCATGAACTCCAAGTTGTGCCTCATCTCTTGCATGTGCCTCATCATCTCCTGCTCGATTTGGAAAAAGAGAGGCCTCGTCTCCGGCCAGAGACTGCGCACTGGCCAGTGGAAGTCCATGAAGGGGCTGAGCGGAGACTGAAATGTGCTTGGGCAAAGCATCTTTGGTGGCTGTCTTTCAGTGGCTGTGCTGATCGTAGCTGGTCGGCTGTCGTGCTGCTTCTGTCTCAGCAAACGCAGTGCTGCGCCTTTATATTCTGGGCTGGAAAGTTCCAGCAGCATTCCAGCTATGCAGCTTGGCACTATGTGTCATCCTTGTACCAGAGTGCGATGACTACGCAGGTGCAGTCATATGCCAAAACAAGCTGGTAGTATTTTTGTGATCTTACTGCCACATGCCAGAAGGAGTACCTCATTGTTCTATTTAGAGCCACTGCTACTGCACTTCTGTCACAGGCCACCACACAGACAGACTTTCTGTGTTTTGTTTTGTGATAAAACTACACTAAAGCACAGCTGAATGCAGCACAGTCACTATTTGTATTGTATAAAGTAAAGCTGGGCCTATTACAGTAAACACACAGTACTGTTATATGTCTCATGCTCTACTTCTCAGAGTTCAGAAGCAAATTCCCAAACATTTTCATTTCATGTTTGTCATATCTTTAAATTTAGCAAGAGAGCAGGCCAACAGCTGTCCCTCATCCCACACTCATGCCAGATATCTTATGTCTACTTTAAAAATAACTGTAACAAAATGCTATTTGAAGTATTTACACATATCTTCTGAGTGTTCAAACACAATATCTCCAACACAATATCTCCAATGGCAGGCACTGTATTTATCGTCATCATTTCATGTAATAACACTTCGGAAATCTAGTTCCTTTCAACACCACTGTGAGTAATTCAGACTCTGTAAGTTTCTCTGCAGTTAACCATTTCTCATCAACCCACTCTGAGTGACTTTGTCTACATCTCTCTCTCTCTCTCTCTCTATGTCTATATATCTATATATATATATATACATCTCAATATTTATATATATATATATATATATATATATATGTGTGTGTGTGTGTGTATATATATATATATACATACATCTATATATATATATATATATGTATATATATATAGTGAGAAGAGAGAGAGAGAGAGTGAGATGTAGACAAAGAAGAAATCAAAGTAGGCAATTTTCTCTACAATGCAGCATTTCACTTCAAACCACACTGAACATCTTCCCATACAGAAATCTGATATATGGCCATGAGTTACGCATTTTTAATATATATATAGTTTTATATATAATGATATGTACATATATGTTGTGTACATATATGCAAGTATCAACTAATAGTCCTTTATGCATAATATATATGTCTATATATGTCTGATAGGTGGGTGAATACACATTATGCGTAATATATAGATCATACATATATGTCTGATACATTTAAATCTATCCTAGTATATATTGTTCCTATTGCTTTAATCATTTGCTTTTGAATATTGCACTATTTAAATAGGTCAGGGAACATGATTTTAATTGATTTCACGTTTTAATGATTTTATTGCATGTTACAATGAGCATGTTTTAGTATTCAGTAGCTATTATTCTTCTTTTCACTTCATAAGAAAGTATGCTGAAGAAACAAAGAAGATGCATAAAGACCTTATATAACCTCAAACTAGCATATATGAATAATATATGCCATTCATATATGAATACTGTCTATCATACATTTTACACATACATGTTTCACGTCTATGTTTGTATATGTTGGTATAAGGCTGAAATGTCCCATATTTGAAAATGGCAAATTTCAAGTAAGTTGGCATGCCGTATGTCCATATGCGACAAATATTAGTTAGATATATAAAGGAAATCCAATATATGCTAATATATGTAATGTATTTGGGATTTAAATGTTTCCATGTATTACATTTTCGTGGATTGTTTACGTCTCTCTTGAATTGCGGAGAAATTTTTAAAAATCAGTGGAATTCCCCTTTAAGTATTTACTTTTGTACCCGTTCTCGTTTATTGGAAAGTACCTCTGACTGAGTTGAATGAAGTAACAATACTATTACTTGATTTTAGAGGATTTAGGCTGCTCTGTTCACGTCTCCACCTCTGATTACATGAAAGTTTAAAGTTTTGCGGTTGAAATATCTTCCACTACAGAGCCTAACAAGATTACTGCGCCTCCACTGTCTGTCTGGGTGCTACAGACTCAGCTTCAACAGCGCTAGCTACAATGGTCCCTCCTGTCCAGGTTTCGCCGCTTATCAAGGTAATTTTTTATCAACCGAGGAAATTATAGTCGTAGTAGTGTAGCTACAGTAGTTTTATCAAGCAATGCTTCATTTGACTGAACATGTTACACAGCTTTTCCACAACTCGACCTTCGTTCATAGTCAGTCTTGTGCATAAGGCTAGCCAGCACTAGCTAACCGCCTCTACTGAGCTCTGTACTGCAGTGCTGCACTAGCTGTCTGGATAGCCACTATGCTAATACTAGCTAAGTATTAGAAGGTCAGTGGTGATAGCTAGCATTAGGTAAGCTAGTTTAGCAAGCAAACGCTGCTGGACGAGATGATTTGTTTTCCTAGCAACCTGGCTTTGCTGGCTTAAACGTTATTTGACAGTAAAATTATTGAGGTGCTTAAGTGATGAATAAATTATATCTGCCCGACAGGAGATTGAGAATTGTTTAGCTAAGCATTTATCTTTGTGTCATTGAATGAATGACTGTAAGTAATTAGCTAGTTTTTGCTAGCTGGCTGCAGTTCTCAGCTAGCTAGCGTTACTTTAGTTGCGTTAGCTGGTTGCTCAGCATTCGCTTGTATTTTCTCATGTTACTTGCTTATGTCATTCAGAGGTGATGCTGGCATCCAAAACTAGACTCCTGACACTGAACATTAAATTACTTTGCCGCTGTTTTCTGGCCAGCCAATTCTTCTTCCTAATGTGGAAAGTGTGGAGAGGTTATCTGGCCAGCAGCTTGTCTAGTTCCATGACTAGACAGACAGGTGACCAGTAGTGAGATCTCAATAATAGATCCTGTGTCATGGTCTCTCTGGCTAATTTCAGACTGCAAGATGGTCTGCCTTGCTGGTGGGAATCATCTATGGAAAGCAGAGATATGGTGAGGTCCTTCATTACGTATTATTCTCAGTGTAAAAGTACTTGATGGCATATGATTGTGTTCAGTAAATATGTGAATATATAATTGTGGTCCAGTACTGCTAAGTTAGATGACAGTATACCTGTTTTATAAATATTCTTACTACTTAAAGATTACCTGAAACCCATTGCTGCCGAGGAGAGGCGTGTTGAAGAGGCAGAGAAGAAACTGAGGGAGGAGCAAGAGAGAATCTACAAACAGCTGGCTGAAGGTATGTTTGGTTTGTTGCTTTTTAAACTGTTAAATTCATTAAGATACATTTTTTAAAAAGATGGTCCTTCAGTGATTCTTTAGTAAAGAAAGTGGTTCTATATAGAACCATGAACACTCTGTGAACCCTTTGCATGATGAAAGCGTTCTTCAGACTGATGGAAAATGTGCTATAGATGGTTCTATATAGGACCTTTTTGAAAAGGGTTCTATTATAGCACCAAAAGGGTTCTGGTTTACTAAAGAACTCTTGAAGAATCGTCTTTTTAAGGGTGAAGGATGTGAGTTTTGTTTTCTAAACACAAAGTGGAACACAGTGGGCCTACTTAATGTAAAATGCAGGCAGTTGTAACCTTATCTGGTGTTAATACCTTTTCTGGGCATGTATAAATGTTGTTCATTAGTTTAAAATTAATAATAAGCATAAGCATAAGAATGTTATTTAGTGTTGTGAATGTAAAATCTCAAATGACTTCAAATTAAATGGCACTGAAATCAACTCCCAGTTGTCAAACCTTTTAGCACACAGACAGTGCCACCATGTGGGAGCTGATGGATGATATAAATCACATCTGCAGTCCTTGGCACCACATGGCTAAACCAAGACTAACTCTGTCTTTCTTTTTGCAGCCGACTCTGACAGCATTCTGAAATGAATCATGACTTCAGTCTCCTCAGTCATGTCCTGCACTACAAAGTGAAGTATAAGAGTAATTATATTACCTCTATTTTTCAATAAAAGCATCAAAAGTATTTTCATTGTCTGTTTTGCTGTGACAGTGGGTTTCTGGGCATGTGTGTTTTGCTCACACTTAACACACATGAATCAAAAATAGCACAGAAGCTTAATACAAAACTCAGACATTTATGCTGCATTTGAGTGGTGTTGGAAACTGGTAAATACCAGATTTCACACTTTGTTAATTGCACTTGAATGGCCAACAAAGTCATATTTACAACATGTAGACTCAGAATTCTAGATAATACACAGGTTTACGAGATGTGACATATACCACAATCTTTCACCTTTTACACAAGTGAAAAATGCTAAACTTGTAGTGAATGTGAAATAATATATAATAATAATAAAAAATATATACCTGAAGCACTTCAGTTAGATCTGTGTGCTTTTTAACCCAGCAAAGAAAAAGCAGGATATTTATTCTCTGGATCTTCATGCTTTCTTTTTCCATATGGCGCATCCATTTCTGAACAACCACCCGAAAGGAGTTTAGTTGTACTTACTAGTCAACCATCTGATACAACCTTCCAGAACTGGAACGCATCATTAGCATACAGACATTCATGTTTCTGTACAGTGACTCTGAAAATAGACACCACAGTCAGAAGTTTGATGATGTCAGTGAGTTACAGGTGTAAAAAAGTGAATTATAAGTGTAAAAAAAAAATAAGGAGCCCATATCATGGAAACCTGAACTGTCCATCATTTTGTAAAATAATATTGAAGTATGTAAACATTGTTAAAGTTTAAAAACACACCATCCACCTCCCAGTCCACATATGGAAATTAAGCTGCAAAGATTGCCCATTTGAATTCTATTTGTTATGTTACACAAACCGTCATATATCCATCTATTCAGCCTAGAGCAGTTTAGCTCCACCCATTCACACTCAGGTTATAAAGAGTGATTCTTGGGCTACTTTTTGAATGAAGCACAATACAGGTAGGCCAGTCAAACCAGAGGTCATTTACATATACTAGTCTCAAAGGCACAGTATAAAAAACAGCCTGTTCAAATCTAAGGGATGGCAAAAAGTTGGGAAATGAATAACGACAATTTTTTTTTCACGTCGAATGACACAAATATTATAAGTGGACCTCAGGTAAAAAGGAGGTTGTAGGATGTGGCCACTTTTAAGCAGCAAATATACAACCAGTTATAACTTTTCCACTAATTTAATTTTCTCAATATTTATGCTCTACTACTTAAAAGGAGAGAACGGGAAACAAAGCGATTTTATTCTGAAGTGGTCATCTTTAACAGACTGTATGAGTATTAAGATTTAACGTTTCATTGCTATTAGGGAGCACCGTGTCTCCTAACTCGTAACTCAAGCTTAATGGCCAATCATATGGTTGAGTCACCATGTTCTAAATTCCGGGCTCTATAGTGTAAATCATCAAGAAACACACAGTTCAAGATTCTAATTGAAGGAACTGTACGTCCATCATCCTTGCCCTTCAGCGCTGCTACACTGAGGTTTAAAGAGTGCAGTTGTGTAAGCCACACATGGTTTAGCATAAATCCAGGGATTCAGGTCACAGTCCAATACGAGAAAGTGCTGAGTTTGTACAACACAACTTACTGCAGGTTTTACCCAACTAGGCTTGCGGTGGTCCCAGACTATTCCCGTTCCAGTAGTTTATATTGTTGGAACTGAATGACAAACTTTGATGTAAATGAAACAAGTAACAGGAACTACAATTTAGAGAATGTACATATTTTAGCGATGACAATGAATCAACACAATAACAAAACAGAAATGTGAAATGATAGAAGCAACACAGGCACAGCATCAAACTGTGTATTATGTATTATTTTCTTTATAAGGAAATTCCTAGAGAGGGCAAGAGCTACAGTTACTAAAGTAACCTTAGCAGGTTACAGGCAGGCAAGCACTGAGCTAGAGGGGTGGAAACTGCTGATAGTTTGTATAAGATAAGAGGCTTTACTAAGGAGTGAGTCACTGCTCATAAACGGCTGTGAGATGACAAGCTAATTAAAGGGCTAGTGGAAATAGAACATCAAAAATAGTGCCATGAATTTATGGCTTGGATTAAATCTTAAATCCATACATTTACTCTCACTGACCATTAACCAAACATAATTCCAAAAAAAAGAAGTTCATAAAAATACGTACTTTAATTCTTTTTTGTGGAGAGCATACAGAAACAGCTTTACAGGATGATTTATCAAACGTTGGAGTGGGGCAGTATCTTAAAAGCAATACAATGACAAATTAATCACATTAAAGTTAAGACCAGTTCTACACTGTCTTGTTTTATTTATGACAAGTTGGCTTGATTTCCCTTTAGGCAACTAGTGTTGCATATGCGCAATCAAAGCAGCAAACTTTAAATAGCAAAAATAACTGCCATAATTCAGGTGCTTTACAGTATAATCCAGTGACATGCTCTCATTCTAAAGTCTGTCTCACCTACATGTTTATGTACAGAATGAAGACATTGCTGTCTTGATTTTCTGAGACTGTCTCATAGACAGGTAATGGAAGAAAGACACTTCCTTCCTCCATGAAGATCACACAAAATAGGAGACATCATACCCCTGTCTGAATACTCTTGCTGTATCATTACAGATAGCTGTAACATCCATAGGTTTTGTGTCATCAGAGGTTAGCTGAGAATTCATTAGATGTATGGTTTCAAGGCCACTGGCATCAGTATTTCCTCCAGTTTCATGTCTTGTAAGGGGAACCATCAAGTACTAGTGTTTTCTTCAGCAAAGCAGAAGAATACTAGCACCTGATATAAATAATGATGGAAATAAATGTTCAAATTGCAGGTCTCTCAAGTGGTCAAAATAGAACATAAGTGCAACATTGAATCTGATACTACTGATGCTTTTCTCTTCGTACATACTGATCTCCAAGCAAACAAAGCACATATTACATGTCCGTCCATTAGCCATTACCCATTTTCTGTTTAATGTTTGGTCACCTCAGGAAGGACAGTGTTCAGTATTATGCATTCTATGACCCAAATATGTTTATGGAACGCATATTAATGCACAAATTTAAAGGAAATTCTCAGGCATATAATAGTAATGCTAATGGGATAATGGGTAATGGGAAGTAATCATAGATACAGCATTAATTTTCCAAATTACACTTATTCTACATCTTAAATTTCAATTATTGACACTCAATTACATTCATACTTTGGATAAATTAAGTGGATCTAGAGACCACGTGACAAACTTGTACAAATAAATGTAACTGTACTTGTACAGTAACTAATTTTCAGTGACTAACAAGAAGTATCACAGTTACCACAGTTGATTTCAAAACTTTAAATTTGTCTCCGAAAAAAATGAAATAACAGGTATATCATCTATCGTTGCATTGTGATGTAGATTAAGTGCAACCCTCTTTGTGATATGCACACTCCAAACTGAATTTTCTTTTAAAATATCTTGTAAATAATAGATGTTGCCCAGTGACATCACGAGGTAATTACTCAACAAAACCAAGCCAAAACATATAAACATGTTAATAGAAAACAATGATACAATTAAGAGCCAAACTTAATTTTTTAAAAGAATTTGATGTCAGGCCCCAGTTGGTCTCAAGCAGAAGGGTCAAGCTGGATTCCCTCCGGGCCACAGCTCAGAAGAGATGAACATTTTCCCTCTTCTAAACTCTGAATTCAGTTCATGAAGGCCTTGTTAATTAGCTGATACGTTGAATCAGTGGTGTTTAATGAGACAGAAAGCTAATCTCTGCAGATCTGTGGCTCAGAAGGAACCCAGTTTGACACCCCTGGTTAAGCCTTATGATAGTATATGATGCATTGAAAACGTGTGGCCCACTTATTCTTTTTCCTGCGTCCTTGTGTTCTGGGGTGAGGTTTTCCCCCTGTGCCTTTAGTGGCTGTTGCCCTTCCAAATGGTCCCTCAGTTTTAGCAGATTGAGCAGGTCTTGGATCCTGATGAACCTCCGCTGGCATTGTTATTAGTAGCTGTAGAAGAAGAATAGAAAATAAGTACCTAACAAAAACGCAGGTCCTATTTATTTAAAAGTGTTTAGTCTTACTGATAAAAAGTAATATATAATTCAAACCATGTTTGGCTGCCGCAGCCTCCTGCCTTGCCTTCGCTTCTTCTTCAGCTGCCTTCAGCTTTGCTTCATATGCCTCCTGCAAGGCCTTCCACTCTTTCCTGTTGTTCAGGATGCCATCAAACATGGGCTGGATGGCTGGGTGGAAACGAGAGAACTCCTGTACAGGAGAAGTTTATGTAATGTCACACTGGCCTTTGGACCTTAAAGATATACCTGCTACACAGAAGCAGAGCATAACACAATTCATGCAGTTTAGTCATAATTAAAGAATACTGCTACACATTACCTTGTAGACAAAAGTGCAGACGAAGTCTATGAAACCACACTGAAGCTTGGGTAATTCTGCTGCTTTGTTCCGATCCATCATGGGCTGAAGATAAAATGTAGGATAAATTAATTAATGATAAATATAGGATAAATGAAAAAACACTGCAAGTTTACTCGAGAATCAGACCTGAGTGTACTGCTTCAACTTAAGCTAACCAACACAGACATAAAAAAACAGCCAAACCTAAAAGTACTTACAATTGGTTGCTGTTCAAGAACTGTCCTCTCTAAGTCACCCTGCTCCCAAAATTCTGCTGCAACAGAGAGGGCCACCTGGGGACAATCAAAGAGTCATGTATATGAGCTCCAAGACTTTGTTATTCTGTATTACTCCACATTAGACAATAAACCCTGTCAGCGCTCACCTTGCTCTGAACTTCCCATGGCTTGGTGATGGCCGACAGATCACAAGCTGTCATCATCATGGCCCTGTTTGTTCGGTGGAATGAGAACAGATCCTTATAAACAAGCCTTTATTACTTTCAATCAGGAATGTGAGACTACTTCACAGTTTGCCAAGTTTGTGTCCTAGAGAGCTTTATGCAACTTTAAATTGTTTACTCTCACATTACAATCTCCTTCCTTGTTGTTTCCAGAGACATAAAATCAACCCATTTCTTCTCATCCTCATACGTCTCTGAGAGATCCACAATTTTCTGGAACATCGTCCTCTTCCTGTTAACAACAGAGAGCGAATTTACATGTAACCACACTATAGGTTCAAGGGCAAATGATACTCTGAAATAATAATACTGGTCAAATAATGATAACTCACTTGAAGTACAAGGCAAGGTCAGTTGCGATAATGGCAATATCAATCAGGTGGAAAACATGCTCTGTCTGTCTTCTGTTGAGGTTTTGGAAAATGTTTAAAGACTGGGGAGAAATGCAAAAGGTCAAGATCAGTCCTTTTGGTTATGTGGTTATGATGGTTTCTCACTTACTTTGATGTGAGAGAGCATTATTTATTTAAGATGCAAACTCTTACCTCATCTGCAAGCAAAAACTTGCCAAATTCTAAATGATGCCTCTCCAGAATGGAGGAGCCATGCAGCTTTGCTAGTGGATTTTGAGATCTGATCACAAAGAAAACAAATACAAAAAGAAATGTTAAATTCTTACAAGATTGCCTGTCTTATATGTACTCTGAGTAACTGCTGCATATAATTAAAATTGTTGTATAAATCAAGTTCTGCAGTGATAGTTATTAACTCACTTCACTTGGTAGAGATTATTGGTGCCTCTGTGATCAATATCGTGCAGGAAACCAGCTGTGATCATGGCCATTACCTCCAAATCTGTGTAGTACCGCTTCAGCTTCCCTGTCTGAGTCCACAAATAACACACTGTAATTGTAGCTTCTATTGCTTCTCTATAGCTTCTCTTGAATTTAGAGTAGATGCAACAAAAGCATTTTTTAAGCAAATTATTACACTGCATTGCATTGGTGATGTAAGAGAAGAGGTTCATACCGTCAGTAGTGTGAACATGGTTTGTCCAACATTGAAGCCATGGCGCCAGTTGTGGTAGGTGATCCGCCTGTAGCCTTTGCTGACTGAGTACATAAATCGTACTAGAACCTAATAGTTAAAATAATCAAAGCATTACTATCTTGAGTTCTTCATTAATTTTCTTTATGAACAGGGATACACTAAGCATATGGTTGCGTAGTGCCATTTGATTCCCCTAACCAGTGTGAACACTGACCTCCTGAGGGATCTGGAATTTCTTGACCACTCCAACTTCGTAGTACATTTGGATCCCACACAACACCAAGTCCATTTCAGTGCAGTCAAAGTCTGAAAACCGGAACTCATAGATCTCAAATTTGGTTGGCCCTGGAAGTTGTTTTTTCTATAGGCAAAGATAATGGATAAAGAAGACAACAGTTTGCTTATAATACATTTTGCTTATAATACTTTAAAAGTGAATGTACTGATGTAAATTGTGGACTTTTCTCTTTTTTTTGCTTTCAACAATGTTAGTGTACTGTTTGAGGGTGCTACCACCTTTACAATGCATATACATATCGAAATAATTAGAATTTTAAATGTAGACTGTGAGGTTTAACAGACTGTACATACCAGGATCTGCCAAAGTTCATCCTCTTCACAGTCTCTTGGTTCTCTCCCATAAACCTCCCTGGTTTTCTAGAATGTTCAAAAAAATAATCAAAGTCTATTTGTCTGCATTATTAGATAGAGAAAATACAACTGATTCAAAGACTTGAACTTACAAGGACATTCTGAATCTCATCATCTCGACACTTGACATGGTACAAGACCATGTCCTGGGCAATATCCTTTCTGTTCTCCAGTTTATTCATCTTATCGTAGGTGTCCGGGTTGAGTGCTGACCAGCCCAGAAACTGGGTCAAAGCCTTTAAAAAATGATCATTTGTTGAATCAAATTCTTATTGTCATGCACATGCTGTTAGTGTTTGATTCTGACTGGTTAATCACCCAGAGACTGATGCTCTAAAAGCACTAGGAGAAAAAAAAACATAGCTTCTAAACTGGGGATTCTGTGTTGGTCAACCAAAAAACAATACCTCCATTAGTTGTTCATCCTGTTCATCAAATGGCTTGCCGTCTTTTCTGTTAAAGAAAGTTGCCACTCCCACTATTTCTTCCTTCTTATTGACGATTGGTAGAGACAGCACATTTTTAATGGTCCAGCCTCTGTCATCAAGAGGTTCAGTCTACATCAGAAGGAGACAAATGCTTGGTATAGATGAAGACTTCTGAACTCATAATGCAACCCTGGAGTTCACATTTTGCTATTTTAGATGTAAAATTTTAAATATAGTTTTTCGGTAGAAACCATGGACTGCTACCTGAAAGGTGAACATTTCCTCTGCTGCTGCATTCATGATATTGCAAATCTTAAACACAATACAGAAAATCATACACAGCGTTACAACGTGACTTTCAGGCCTAATGAATATACTGTAAAAAATGGAAAGGCACAATACTTACAAAACCACTCTCTGCTACATAAGTGGGTAACCCACTGGCCAGTGCCCAGTGGTCTGCAGGTGGATTTCTGTAACAAAAACAAAAATATATCAGCCATATAGATTCCACTGATAAGTTTGTATATTTCTGTCAGAACAAAACCTTGTATTCCATTTCTGTCATTTTTTATTTTTTTTCATTGTCCCTTACATTGTGTGAACATTTCATGATGAACAGACCTGTAGAACTGCTCTAAAATTATTTAAAATAAAATCTTGTTACATTATCTTCCATTCAGAACTAAGAATGTTTTTTCCTTCTCCTGTAAAATTACCGTTTTGAAGAATTTTTGTTCTTACACCAATGATATCATGAAATATATTTATATTCATTTATTTATTATCTGTTTTTTTATTTATTTTAATTTTTGAAGTTGCCTTTAAGTAATTTCGATCCTTATACCAGAATTCAGGAGTGAACAACAAAAGGCAAAAACTTACGGTATGACTTTGATTTCCTCTTTCCCGTGCAAAATGTAGTCAATAACCTTGTAGAAGTTGATTTCCTGTAAGAACAAATAAACAAGTCTTCAGGTCATTTGACAAGCTTAGGTGCAAAGTGAATCATCCAGCTCCAAAAGCTGCTCAGACACGTACCCTCCCATCTGGTGTCACAGGCCCAGAGTACGGTGCCTGCTCTCCCATCAGCACAGGCCAGATGTCAAAAAATTCCTGTACAAGAGCACACAAGAGAAAAGTATTAATCTAGCATAAACTTTGACAAATGTTTTTGGTGAAAGGGCATTTAAACCTTAGAAGTTTAAATTAACGCTGGTGATGACGAAGGCATGTTATAATTTTATATTTATTATTTCATAGGTTCTGTCAAAAGTGTGGATTCTAAGTTTTCACTCAATACCACATTTGTGTTTATAAGTGGGACATATAATTTAAATTTCATGAAAATATATTGCATATACAGTCTTGCCATGTTTATGCAATTGTTGGACATTGAAACAAACAGAAAAAGTGCAGACACAAGCCTATCAATGCAGAACATAAACAGTATGTAAATGTAATTAATTATGTAATGTGTAGGTATGGGTTAACACATGGAAAAGTAGAGTGTGTTTATTCCTCATACTGTCTGAATGTACCTTTTCCTTAGTCATATCCAGCAGGCCCACAGAGTACCGGTCACAGTTGAGGTACGCCCGCACTGTGTACAGAGCTTTGTGAAACTGACGCTCGATGTCTGTGAGCTCTTCAAACACTTTGTTAGCAGACCACAAGAGCAGCTGTTCGCAGAGGAGATCAAAGATTAGAATCTCTTATTTTGGGCAACATTAGGGCTGCTGTACATATGATATCCAAGAGGACACGCTCACATACTCACCTGCCCTTTACGTGTCTCACAGTTATGTAGGTAGCTCAGGTGGTAAATCTTCAAGTTCAAAGTGCCAACTTTCAGATACTTTAAAAAAAGCTGTGAAGAAAAATGAACAGTTTGAACATGGAAAAGACTTTAAATACCATCTATACACATTCAACATGGAATATTTAAACACAAAGATACAGTAATATGTTTGTGCAACATGTGGAGAATGATTTAGTTAATCTAGAAGAATGTTTTTAAGGCATGAATAAACAGCGAGGGAACATTTGGAATGGCCAGAGCATTACTGGACAACACCATATTTATGTGTCTGACCTTTATAACAGATTTCCTTCACAGATATCTTATAAACCTCCAGAGATGTGTAAGCCTTTGCTTGTTGTCCAGCTTAAGAAGGGCAGTAGGGTAATACCCCCCTCCCATAATGCACTGCACCAACACACATAATTCAGTGCAGAGAACTGACAGCAGTCATTTGAAATGTTCTCCAAATGACTGCTAGGCTATAAAAGTTATTTTTTCCTTAGTCAAACATTGCATTTGTGCACTAGCCTACAGCTTTTCTGATATCTGTCTTTAAATGATAATTATGCAGATAATATATAATATGGCAAGCAGCGTCCACTTTAAACAATCTGCTTCCTTTAAACTAAGAACATAGTAGTTCATGCATGGCGAATCAAGAGCACATGGCATACTTCAGCACCACTGAACTGCTGCCCATCAAAGACCTTCTATTAAGGTTTGTTCCAAACAATCAGATACAGCAGATATACGTGACAGAGTGTCGTTTTGGGGGGCATTAAGCGGTGGGTGGTGACTCACATCTTCATCCTCGTCTGTGAAATAGGGTCCAGTAGTCTTATTGACGGCCATGACGACGGCCACCACATCCTTTCCGTTCATGACGGGTGCAGCCAAGATGTTGCGTGTAGTGTACTCTGTCAGTTCGTCAACAAAGGAGCTGAAGTGGCTGTTCTGGAATGATTAACATAAGTTAATCTCACAGCTATTGTAATACTACAGTGACACTAAGGCTTCAAAGTTTGAAAGTTTATTTGTAAATGAATGCAGCAGATCTCATATCTCAACCCTGTGCCCATACGATAGAATACCAAAAAGTCAAAGGTTTGGACGTACCTGATTGAGTGGAGGTTTTTCATCATTTTAAAGATATTTTGATCTAATCTAAAATTTGTGTCTAAGATATAATTAGTGAAGTAGTGAATATTCTTATGTATGATTATTTACATTGCCTTTTTTTTTAACATATATGGCAGTTCTGTGTAAATGTTTTAGGCACCTGAGAAAATTAAAAAGCTATTTAACTGGGCAATAAGCATTAACTGTAGAATAAATACAACTAACATTAATACAGTAAGTAGTGATTTTATGTCCATATGTTTGTTTAACCATTTCCAAACATCTACTCATGGCAGCCCAGCATTATTTGTAGTTATCATCCAATACCTGGTTTGGCTAATCAATACTTCATTACAATAAATCAAGCATGCTGATGGATTTCAACAAATCCATCCAATGGAGGTCTCGAGGAGATAAACTTAACATTTATTCTAATGATATATGGTGTTTTTACAAGGACTTATTGACAGATAAAAGGTTTAAAATAAATTTGCTTAGGCGACCAAGGTTTGTACAGTACTGTATGTCTCCTCTGTAACAGTCAAATAGTAGTTTTCAAAAAGCCAGCTTATGTTACTAGTCTGCATGCTTGTCTGTTCTGTTACATGTCACAGGTGTGTGCACTCACCAAGACAAATTCCTAGTATGTGTAACACACTTGCAGAAATAAAGTGATTCTGATTCTAATATGTGAAACTTCCTCAAGACCTTCAGAAAGCCTGTGCAAAGCTGTCTTCGAGGCAGAAGTTGACTACACTGAAGAATATAATATAGTTTTTATCTCTTCACTATTATTCTAAAATGTGGAAAATAGCAAAGCTTCTATCAGTAGGTGTGTCCAAACTTTTGAGATATAGGCACAGTTTGCTGAGCGGGAGTACTTGGGTTTACTTCTACACAGCAGTCTACCACAAATAATGCTGTAGTAAGAGATGTTTGCTGTGTCCATGATTATACACTGATGCTGAACTACAATTAATAAATGGTTAAATTGTAGTGAGGTTGTTTACCCTGACATGTAATAGGTCTGGAGTTCAGGCCTGTTTGTCTATTTTCAATAATGATGCAGAATGAACAGAGGTAAATAAAAACAAAAAAAGCACAAACAGTCTTTTGAGTGAAAACACAAAAACTTTTCAATTGGACATTCTTGCTGACACCAACAAATGCCACATGTGAAATAATCCCCAGAAATAAATGGATTATGTCAAGAGGATTTACGTATCCTAAAATATGTATGTACTATACTGCATCTGTATATGTAGATCATTGTTGCTTACATGTTTTTACTGAATTGATTAATTTATGAAAGAAGATATTATAAAGCATGTACACCATTGTTGAAATAAAGATCATGAATTGTTTAAAGTAGCTTTTTGCTAAATTATATAAATATATTTCTTACCTCATTAACATCCTTGACATTGATGGGTTTTTTGGTTTGAGCAACATGCCCTACTATACCAATATCAAGAGGAAAGACAATCTCTGAGTCTGGAGGTACCATACATTCTTCCAGATTGGCTGTAGTGTTGACATCGAATAGTCGAGTGGCCAGTTCAGCAATGCCGTTTCTCTGGCGGTACATGAACAAGCTGCAGCGGTCAGCATGAATCAGAGCACTGATTCTCTTCAGGATCTTGAAGATCACTTTCTCCATGTTGACGTTCTCCTGCATGTCTTTGATTAAATCAAAGAACATTTCGCCCTCCTCTACTTGACAAACTTCTTCAAAAGACTTCAAATCCACCTTGGACTCTGGGATTCCCATCACAGAGGCCACAGCTCCAGGTTTGAGTTTTTTAGCGAAGTACTTCTTAGCGAAGTCCGGGTTTCCATCCAGGAATTTCTCCACATCTTCGCTTTTGACACTCATCTTGGGTTTGGGATATTCCGCCCCTGTCCCAGTACTGGCCTGTAATCACCTCAGGAGGTTCAAACAAGGTTTAAGTCTATTGTTGCCTAAAAGAGAGAAATATATTCGCAGCACATGATCCTGAAACTGTCAAGAAAACGAAGGACAGTAGAGTAGGACCCAATCGTGTGGAGAAACACCTGCAGCAGCAGGGGCGACCTGAGTCCAATCCGACTGTCATCAGCAAGGTGTTTCCCTAATAGTGTTGAAGGTGAACCAGGATCTGCTCATGCAAAACTGATCAGGTGATGAGTCGCAAAGCTGGGGTCCACTGCCACGATGTACTACCTTTGTCTTCTTTACTCCTCTTTTCTGCATCAGCAGGAAACAGACATTTTGTTGAAGATCTTTTCAGTTAAAATGTACCACAGATGTGCTGGGCTGAAGATGTGTGTTTGGTTTGTTCCCCTTGTCTCCTCTCCCAGGCCTTTGTGACACAAGCTCTTTATGTTCTTATTAAAAACACACTCCTCATTCCTAAGCCCTATTTAGCCAGGCCACTAGCTGATTATCTCAGCACCCTGGTCCCCTCCTTTACACTCACCAAGAGAGCAGCAAAACTACCCTCCTCTAAGATGAAAAGAAATAATAAACAAATCATTGTACACATTTGTAACATCTTTAAGACTAGTAATTCATACTCACTGTTTTTATGTGATTATATGTCTTTAAAGTAAGTCTATACTGAGGGCATTTTGTACCATATTGATTACTGAATATTAAGTGATGTGGTCCCTAGCAGGTAAATAATAGTGAGCCTAAATAAGAAAATGTCATTAACACATATCTATATAAAGACCCAGTAACCATCTTAAGCAAAAGGTCAGGAGGATTATCACCACATTAATAGCTCAATACCTGTGCATAGTAATCTACAGTGAGGACAAAGCCTTCCAACATGTGTGAGTGAGTGAGTGACTGAGAATGAGATCATTCACTTGACTTTCATACTGGTTGCAAAATGGGCAGCTACAAGTACAAATAATAAAGTATTGCCCATCTTCATATCAGTCTCCTTTATGTACAGTAATATACAATAAAATTCACCAAATCTCTGAAGAAGTGCACCTGCTTGGAATACCAGAACAGCCAAAATACCACCTAGTGGCCAGAAATATTGAATGGAAAATGCATAGGGGGTTTTCTTACCTCTTCAAAAAAAATGGTCAATACAATGAAAAATTCATTTTGAAAATGAAATTGTCAGCTTAACTGAATGGATAGTGAATATTAAGGCACACAGAACTTTCATATACCTATAAATACATACAGATGTCTGAATGCTGTCCTGTTGCTCAGACAAGTGCAATGTTTAAAATGCCCAGAGGGGGGCAGCAGAACACAGTTTGCGATGTCCCACTGACTCTGGGTCCAAATGAGACATTGATTTAATGCGCATAATAGTATTGCAATGACAAGCGATCTAATGAACAACAGCACAGTATGAGTAGTGTCCCTACAAGGAAGATGCCAGACTGAAGGCATCTCAACCATAAGGCTAAATAAAGCTGCCATGCTCTTTCATATTTTTTGATACTGAGGAAAAGTGGAGATATAAAGGCATTCTGTCTCTCAGACCTCAGTTGTTTGAGACATTAAGCACAAGAGAGTGTAGGGTGTCTATTTACATCTCACTGTCCAAAAAGACAGAACAAGACCATCCTTTCGTTCATTCAATTTTCTAGTCAAGAACATTTATTCATTTTTAGTATCAGAAAGGAAACGAAAAGATGTGTTAACAGAAAACTACCTAAACACATCTTAGCTTGCAGATGTCTTTCTCATATGCATCTAAAATGGCTTAAGGAGATAATTCTGATGAGATTAGATATAAGATAATCCAAATGCATGATGAAGGAGAAAGTCAAAGGAAAATAAGTAAAAGATACACAGAAAATTGGGCTCCTAACAAACATGCAAGACCTGGTAGACCACCAAAACTGTCACCATCAGATAGACAGCACTTAAAACTTTCATCTCTGAGAGATGAAAGAAAATTAAGCTCCACTCTTGCTTTAGATCTCAAAAAAATCATCCTTCCACTGTGAGAAGACAACTCAATGCTAAGTGTCTGAAAGGATGTGTAGCTGTCAAGATGCCATTATTGAGAAAAGGAAGACAAAAAACAAGAATATTTGCATTAGAACTCTGAAATAGGACATCTGATATGTGGAGGAAGGTTTTATGGACCAATAAGTCAAAACGTGAGATCTTTCAAAGTAACAGAAAGCAGTTTGTACACTACTGAAACAATGAAAGACTCTGTGAACCATGTCTACAACCATCAGTCGAGCATGATGGAGGATCAGTGCAGTTTGGGTATGTATAACAACATATCGTTGCAGTCAAAAAAATCTCCATTTTTTGTGATTTTTAGTTGTATGCATAATTTGATCCCAGCAGCTGTCGTTTGCATTGTGTGAATATTTTATGATTATTGGACCAATAGAAGTGCTCCTAAATTGTTTTGTAAAAAAAAAACGTTTTTACCTTTTTCTGTAAAGTTACCATTTTGGAAATACTTGTTTTTCTTTGGTCTGCAACGATATAGAGTTTGTGATTTGTTTGTGATTGAAGGCATTAGGAATGCTGATAAATACAAAAAATTCTGATAAATCATACCCTCAAGAAAACCCTTAGAGTAATGTCTGATTAGTAAAAAATAATTCTACACCAAGATAACGACCTTAAACACACTGCTGAGGTCAATCTGCTGGTGTTTTCTGAACAATGGACCGGCCACCAGCCCGGGCCTCAACATTACTGAATGAGTTTCGGATTGCTTGGATTGTGAAAAGAACAAAATGCAAACAAACTTTGGAGGTGTAGACTTTTTCCCTACAAATAAAATAAATGAAATGGTGGTATCTGAATTGTGCACAGTACTTTGTTACAAAAAAAACCATTATGTCATTTCAAAATATTAGATAACTGCAAAAGAACTATTCACATCTACTATACTGTATTAACATAAATGACAAGATGCAGTGCAAGCAGTTCTAGCAAATCACTCACTCCTCACTGAAGCTAAACACACCTAGTCAGATTCCACCTTCTATTGTAAATTGATAACATTTCCTCCACTGTGGGTATCATGGTACATGATGACTAGACTCAAGACTACATTTTTACATATACAAAGGAAAACTAAAAAGAGATTAAAGAGAGACCACTTTGCAGTCTCATTAACAGTAAATATGCTATGCTATGCTATGCTATTCACTCTGTATTACCAAAATGATTTACACTTTTAAACTTAGCAAAGTGAATAAGGCCAAGACTTAGCGAAGATCCCAAGCCTGGTCCAATGCATACGCCTGTGGGAACATGTGCTCAAAGTCCTCGCGGCTGAGCCTGCACTGAGCACTGCAAGCCTGTACAGGCTGGCTGGGGGCCAGGCCTAATCACATGGGGAATGTGGGAGATTAGGCTGCAAGTCCAGGGGAGGAGGCCCACGTGGAGCACAAGCAAAACAGAACAGTTATGGATGCAAAACTGGGGGAACAGGAGGAAATGAGCCTGCCAGGGCTGGAATAAAGGTCCTATGAGGGCACAACTGGTCCAGAAGTTACAGTTAGGAACTCTTGCATACTAAAAATCAGTGTGGTGTAAGTGCACACTGACGTCATGTGTTTAAGTTCCTGCGATAATTTAGGGCAAATACCCAAAGATGAGATTATTTTATGATCAGCCAAAAGATAAGTTGTGTCTAGACTCCATAGAGTGCATGTGGTATGCAATGTGCTCTACTGCACAAGAAAGGCAACTACACTGAGTACATCTTACTAACTTAAGTACATCTGCATCCCAGTATTTCTGTTTACATGTATAAATATAGCAAAAGCTTTGAAGTACAGCAGCCAAAGAAAGAAGAGGGCTTTAAAAAGAACTGTGCTAATCCTTACAAAGCTCATCTGCAAATAGCCAATATCATTGAACTGTGTATCTATGGTCTATGCCAGGAGCTCAGGCTGGCTTTAATGAGAAGAGCAGCAGTGTCTGATACAGTTAAATACTGTAGCTCTGCCGAGCACAAATTCAGCATGTCTCCTCAAGGCAGTTATCACTGGGACGGGTTATCATCATATCCTTGTCTTATTCAGTATGGCATGTAACTCTTAGTATTCTTTCTTCAAGCATATTGACATGAGTACACATTGCCTTTGACACAAGTGACAGGTGCCTGTGGGCCTTTAAGGACACTGATTGGCCATCCAGTCCTAATGCTACTCAGGTGTGTTCACAGAATATTGGTCACTCAGTGTGAGATTACACAGCCGCATGGGAAACAGTCACCTGAGAAGTTCATTGTGGGTCATGTTGCCTAAAAGAAGCAGCTAGAAAAGTCTTGATTCTACATATATGTTTAAATACATATGTGGTGACGCAACATGGTGGCTGTGCAATTTGAAATGCACTCTTAACTCAGCAATGTGAAATGATTCCATTCCATTTAAGAACAGTGACAGGCTTTGTATAGTCATAGTTAAACATGCTATGAACTTTCAGTAGCTCATTCCACCAAGCTCCACAAACGCAAACATAAGACCATGAGGGCTATAATTACTATATCTGCTATTATCTCTGTGTCTGTGACAGCAGCCTTTAAAATAAATAGTTGTTTCTCCAGTCCTGCAGTTCACTTGCATGCTTTTATTTTCTTGCTACATCATTCACCTCAAGAATGACTTGCTCTGATACAGTTCAAGAATTACTTATTCTTCTACTAAAGTAATATGTAAATATGTACAAGACTAACTGATTTATTTGTTTATTGAACTATGTAGAGCTGAAAATTTAGATCTGAATCTAAGTTCAAGCTCTTACATAACATAATATTTATAATCTATGGTCCATAAGACAGTATGGGGAAGGAGGTAAAAGATATTATGTACAGGAAGAGATGAGTTTTAGGTACCACACTGTAATAGTTATCTATTAAACTATTTAGACTATGACAACTATTATTTCAAACTTAGGTGAAGGTGAAATCTTGTTAGAGCTTAAAATTACACAACAGGTTCTCATAACGAGCAAAGCTGGTTCGGTAACTATGGACATCACATCAGGAGCCAATTATAATCGAGAAAACACTAGCACACGCACCTCCACATCGTAACCAACAATCATAGCGTAATCACTGTCCCTTTGCCAAAACAGTAGAGCACTGTTAGGTCTTCAGATAACAAGCAAAGATAAAAGTAAGAGAATCAGCGATTACTGGCTTTGGGTCTACTAAAGGACAGCACAGTCATTTTTGAGCAGACATGTTGCCTCAAAAAGTGACTATAAGGCAAGATGTTAATCAAATAAAATGCTGGATTAGACATTAAGACATGTGACTTGACTTGGCTCAGACTAAAGCAAATTCCAAAAACAAAAATCCTGAGAGAATCATAGGTAAACTTAGACAAGTAAACTCTTTTTACATCACCATTAAAAAAATCTTACCCACAAAGGGCATATGAACTAGACTAATGTTAGACTATAATAGAGTGATTTGTGGTTTTTAATGAGGAATGGCCTTTGTAGTTAATATTTGTCTAGCTCCAAGCTTACAATGCAGAATACCATCCAGATGTTACTGTGTCAGCATATATTTTATTACTCTGCAACTGGGATATATATAACAATGTTACAGCTTTATAGTATGTACAATGGCATCCCTGAACTGCAAAGTAAAAATGTTGGTGAAACTATAGCAACATGATTTATTTTAACCTTTGCTGGAGTGAAGCAGAACTAGAATCCAATTTTAAGCAAAACTTTTCCCTGCATTAAACAGCTTTCTTTGGACATAGGTCTTGTAATTACCCAACGCGCTAAGAAAAAGAAACACATACTAAGAGTAGATGGGGTCATTACTAACAACTAACAACTAACAACTAACTCCCCTGGCCCAGTAACTTATATATGTAATGTATTATGTCAAATAAGCTCAAAATATGCATGGTACATTCTGACCCAGAAATGTTCTCTGACAATAAGGAGATGATCCTGTTTATTTACAGTTGTCACCAGACTTTTGTCATTGGGTTTAACTAATACAACTCCTTGGGTTATATAAAGGCTTAATTGTTTTTACGGCAAGCATGGGAGTGTTCAACCAAGAAGCCAGATTACTCTGAGGATTTCTACAACCGGATTAACCCTAGCTTTAAGCACCTTATTTAATTACAAGAAGTGAAAATAATCAATAAGCCTGTCTGTAGAGTTGGTATAAAGAGGGCCCTGTTCTGTGCAGACTTCAGAGCCTGGTGGAGAACCACAAAGAGAGGTCCTACACCATTGCTTTCTTCTGATCCCTTTAACTCCAAGCAACATCAGAACTACCAGGTAAGATCTAAAAACGTTGTGCTGAATCTCTGAAGCATTAGACTTGGAGCGGACTGTACCACACATTTTTTCTGGTGGACTGCTTTCTAAAGAGGAATTCTCAGGTGGAATCATTCTTAGGAAAATATTTCAGAACCAGCAGTAAATTACAGCAGCATTTGTGGACAGTTATTTGTGGACATGGGAGTGGATAGATCACCTGTGCTCTTTCTCTCTGCCATACAGAATGGAATACTACAAGTTTGCCCTGCTCGTGGTCTTCTTGTCCTATATTGAGCGCTGCTGGTCTTCTTCCTGTGTGGTGGACAGCTTCACAGTCAAGCAGGACTTTGATCCAAAAAAGGTGAGTCTAGAGAATACAGAAGAATGAAGAAAAATGAGTCAAGACCTGGGTGGCACATTATTAGGTGAAACTGTACAGTATAGATATTGCTAATTGCCATGGCTAATATGAATAAGGCCCTCTAACCTGAGCTTTTCATTCACAGTACGCAGGAAAATGGTACGCCCAGCAGAAGAAAGACCCAGAGGGACTCTTCCTCCAGGATAACATTTCTGCAGAATACACTATTGATGAGGATGGCACCATGACTGCTTCCTCCAAGGGACGTGTCACTCTGTTTGGGTGAGTTAAGGCTACAACACTTAAGCAGATATATAAGACAGTATGGAAGGATAACACAGTTTATCAAACATAGTTTATCTTAACAAAGTTTAGATTTAGATTAAAAATTGAACTTAAAAACCTAAAATTGTGCTAACCGTCCTTTCCACATCTAGATTCTGGGTTGTGTGCGCTGATATGGCTGCCCAGTATACTGTGCCTGACCCCACCACCCCTGGAAAGATGTTCATGACCTACCAGGGCCTGGCCAGCTACCTGTCCAGTGGAGGTCAGTTAATATACACACTAACACAGGTCCTTTCATTAAAGTAGCATTCAGCAATCAGATTCCTGTATTCTTAATGATCTATATGACAGCATGGTCTATATTCATACAGGTGACAACTACTGGGTCATTGATACCGACTATGACAACTATGCCATCACCTATGCATGCCGCACCCTAAAAGACGATGGCACCTGTGATGACGGATACGCCCTGGTTTTCTCTCGTAACCCCCGTGGCCTGCCCCCTGCCATCCAGCGCATTGTGCGCCAAAAGCAGGAGGAGATCTGCATGGCTGGCCAGTTCCAGCCTGTGCTACAGTCAGGTGAGACGGCTTTCCTCAACTTTACAGCTAAAGCCAGAGCTAAGCCAAAGCACTTCCTTCATGGGTGCTTTCAGGGCAAGAATGAGTAAATAAAGCAGTATTTATGTAGTACCTTATTTATGCACTATGGTAAAACACACTGGTTCATACACAGCAAAACCCTGGGAATGAAATGACACCTACCATATTAAAGTGTAATAATTGATTTAGCATTTGTATAAAACCATACAGATCTGACATGAAGCCTTTTTAAAACTTGTCTGAATATATGAATTAACAAACTATGTAAACTTCAGGATGTATTATGGGTCACAAACCTTACTTTTCCCCTTTTTGCCTACAGGAGCTTGCTGAACTCTCTGAGAGAGGTTCCTTTATCACGCTGGCATGAAAAGAGACATGGGGAGGCATCTCATAGCAGCATTTTAGAGATTCAGAAAACAAAGCATGTATCAGGGAGAAACTGTTTGCAACTCACTGTCTCAAGGGAAACTTGTGTCTCTGAAAATAAATATTTTTTAAACAAAAGGTCTGTCTGGAAGTGTTTAAAAAGACTAGACACAGGAGTATTAAGCCTTTAGTACAAGTGTTAATACACTCTCTGCCTTTGTGGTGGTAAATGTGCTGAAATATGAGGTTACCGAACTATCGTTAGTGCAACACAGTGGTTTAAGAATAAATAGTATTTACTAGTAATATCTTATTACACAGTTATTGCTGGTAAAATCAAATGTTCATATTAACATCAGGTGCATATTTAAAATATGTTTCCACTGTGAAAAACAGCATGTTTCCACATGCGTTACAGGCCACACTTAAACAAGATTGATACATATGCAAAGAAATTAAGACTATGTTGTGCAACAACATCAGTTCCAGATCTAGATTGCTCAATGTGGCAAAAAGAGAGCATTTTACTATACCATGCAAATATCCTCAAAAAAGTCCACTGTAACTGCCTAGTTGCTTGAGATATCAAATACTTTTGAGAACTTTGGTGACAGACAACAGGATCCAACGTGATCTGTCCAAAACCGATAACAAGATGTAGGTTTATATAGACTGGAAGTGTGTTCCAAAGCTATAAATGAAAGGGTAAAGTAAATTTTAACAATTCAGCAATACATTACGCAAATCATGCTTAATGACATCTCAAGGAGTTTTTCCTTGCCAGTGCCACCCCCAGGAACGCATGGACTGTCACAATAGTTTTATAGTAATCATATTATAAAAAAGTACACATAAAAATACAAGTAAAAAATAACATTGGACAACTATATCTATGAAGAGTGCACCAAAAAAAAATCTTTTGTTTGTGTCTAGCAGCACTTAGGTGGACACTGTAAATGAAGAAAAAAAACTGTGTGGTTTTTGTGGTTAAAGAAAGCACCCTGCCAAAGAGTCATACTTGGGGTTTCATTTGGGATCTTTCCAAATCCTTTAACACTTCTACAGAGACAGAGTCTAGCCAATGGTGCTGTCACTCCTGTCTGAAAAACAGATTGAATCTGGCCTAGAGAGTCAAATTACCTTAATTACTGAAAACAAACAAGAGCAAAATAAAAACAATAAATAATTCTATTGTCAACATTACACAATTCAACAGACTACCAAAATGTGGGCTAATAATTGTAGCGTTTAATTATAAATAGATCAGCATTAACAAAGCAGAAAATAAACTATACCAGGCCACTGACAAAATTCAACAAACTGCAGCTTCACTCTTGATGTTTTTAAAAATTAAGACAATGTTGTTGTTTTTTTATTCTATAGCCAGCACAAATTCTCTCGGCAGCTACCAGTTGATCTTTCCTGCAGACAACAGATTGCCTGTGCAGGACTGATGAGAGCCTTTCCTGGAGAAATCTGTTTTAGGGAAGCCTGGGTTAATGATTTAAGTGGCTTTTAAGGGTCAGTTAGTCTTGGTTGCTAGGGTAAGGGAATAATGTTGAAAAGCCCAGACGAGGAGTCTGACACACTTTTCTGACATACTTTTGTTTAAAATGGCGTATAGGCTATAGGACAGATGGTGGAAAAACTAAGGAAATGCTAACACGGTTGCTATTTATATTTAGTGTTTGTATACATAATGCTTTATTTGCACAGCATAAATACTTAAGGTAAATGCTGTGAAGTCATTTTTTGTACAACACCGTGAAAATTAGGGGTGCTACAGACCTTTTACCCATACTGCAGAGTTTGATGTTCTAACTAACCAAGATAAAGTCTCCTCTCAAATTAAATGTCTAAATCCTGCTCCCTCTGGTGGTGGCCTAATTCATCATCAGTCAACAAAGGTTTGGGGATCCCTGGTCAAATAACATATTGATTTTATAGGTGAATTTTTTTTTCACTATATGTATATTTCACAAATCAGCAAAACATGCAATTGGACTGATGGTGTTCAGACTTCTGCATATGACTGTATGAATATGCCTGCATAAACTGAACATGGGTGTATTCTGCAATAATAAAAGAACATGAACATATAAACATATTTATATCACTCAGGAGTGATTCTTAGCACATACATGTTGGATTTGTGCCAAAAATGAAAATAAGTATACAGTGGCTGACACTGTTCATTTTGTTAATTACTTGCCTTGGTCCATCCTTGATATGCTTGAAGTCACTGATTCTTATCAGCTAACCCTTGCACTTAGACACAAATTCACTACTTACTCATAAAACAATAAGTAACCATACTTACTGTAGTGGAGAACTTCCCATGAAGTAAACAAAACATTAACAACTTTGTTTTGGTTTCTCAGAACATAACACCAAAGCATTTTGTTTGTCTTTCACTCTTGTCTTTAACTCCTTTCAAAGGAGATAGTTGACATCAAAATTATAATAATAATCATAATTGACCTGTTTGAACAGCATATGCTGAACAGCAATGGGCTAAAACTCTAAATGTTAACTGGGACATGGACTCTCAAACATGAGATGTGACACATGACATTCCCAGACACATCCCTGAAATACGTGACTTGGTCAGTTGCTTGACTGAACATGTGTAAACATTTATATGTAAACTGGTTGGCCCTGAGGTTAATATGTACGTTACAACGTGAGCTGCTGTGTGCTGATACATCCGGAGGCCTGACAGTAGCATGCCTGAACAAACTATATGTCTTTATTACTAGTTAATGCTGACACTGAAAAGAAACACAATAAACAGTTTGCATGACTTAACTAATATTAAAAGGAATAATCACAAAAGCACAGGTCTGAAATTCCTAATGTGCTTAATTTCTATTCTAGGTCATTTCTATTGTGCTTAATGTGATATGTTTTTGGACAAAATATTGTCTCATCATCGCTTTAGTAACAGTATGCAAATAGGCAAAATGTAGGACAGCCTTCCTTACAGATGCCACAGACAAAAGACACTAGTTTGTATTTCAAGGACTGCACAAGCATGTCTTTCAACGACGCAGCTGAGCAAGGCAGTACCATCTATATAAACCTTCATGCAATCGGCCACTAATTTTATTCAGCTATATCAAGCAGCACATTCAGTCTTATAAAACAAATTCAATTTTATTAGAGATATTCATTCATTTACATTCAGATGCTCTCAGTCATGACTGAGGGAGGCACTGTTTCCATGGTGATAAGACAGATAGCCCATAACTCCCCTCCCCCCTCTCTATCCATCTGTCCCGGATTGGCTGTTGAGGTGGAGAGCTCAGTAAGAAGCGACATTTTTTTCCCATCATTCCTTTCCCCATTCAAAGCAAGCTAGCAGAGCTGCACACCAGGAAATCCAGCGAGCAAGGCATGGCAAATGTATTCTCCACTGCACTTACTCGCTCCTATGATGAGGGTGAGTTGCTCTTTCTGTCTCATGATATTCTGGCCCCTTAAAAGCAGGCTTTGTGAATGAGGGATTCCCATCTATTTGCAGGCACTTAAAGAGTCTTAAATCAGATCAGAGATTAGCTATTTGGATAAAAACATCGATCTAACGCTTGCTTGTCTTAATCTTTATAGATCTATTCATAGTTTGTTATTATTATGTTGTTTATGAATTCCAAAACACTGTACAACTTGTGATAAGTGATTTGGGGCATTATGCCAGTTCCCACATGTTATCCAAACTAAGGCAAAATGCCTAAACATACAGCTTACAAAGAAGATAAGGTTCATCATTTTCCCAGAAATCATGTTTAGATAATCTGTAATTCTCTCATAGATTCTTGCATGAAGACACCAGCCCTATCTCGAATTAGAACAGTAATATCAGATAAAATAATTCTCTGAATTGACAGCGTACACAGTGACTCTAAGTTATTATGCAGGAATATTTTTCAGTTTCCAGTCCTCCACTAACAGACAATTGAGGCCTTCATGTGGAACAAAACCAGAGCTCATTCTGCAGTAAATACAGTAACAGACTAGCATAAGTCGTTATCCATTTGTCCCACTCCAATTCACAGAAAAATACCTGGAACAAATCCAACAACGTCCCTGATGCATAAATCATGCACTAAAAGCATCTCATGACAACTTACTTGATAAATTACATCATATCAACAAATACAAAAACTCATGTCTTAAATGAACTCTCTTCATTGAAAGCACAAATCTGTGAAGGCCCCCTGCAGAATAAAAACACATAAGACTCAATTCTTTAATGTGGTCATGCTGAAGCATGCATGTAAAATCTATTTTTACACTCTCATATAGTGGTGTCACTGACTCAGATCACACCAGTGATCACAAGACACAGACCAGTTTCAGCCAATTTCAATCTGCCTTGGTTTCAGCAACCTTGCAGAAAACTCTGATGTGATTCCCATAATAACACATTGGGAACACATGTTTTCTACCCTTGAGACAGTAATTAACTTGACATAATCATGACCATAATTTTGTAGAAATAAAAACTCATTTTAAATTTGAGAACCAAAAGTAGTGATAGGACAGCAGAAGTCTAATAAAATCAATGACGCTTCTTAATCTGAGGGCATGGACATAGAAATGTTTTGTAAGCCATGAGGAGAAGTGGTTAATAAGTAGTTTGAACTTACATGCACGTAAGCTTAAATAGCTGGTTTGAAAGAGTTGAACAGCAGGTTATGAGAGCAATACGTGAGACACGCGAGCCAGATGCTGACATTTGGTGGCTCTTCAGGTGACTTACGCAGCGGAAAGAACACAGCTTGAATAGACACCCCACGCTTGAGAGCAGTCAGTACGAAATGGACTGCACCCTTTGCCCTGATCCTGCTGATGTTGCTCAATGGAGGACTTGACAACCTACTATAACTATGTTCAACCCTGTAAAGAGACAACAGCCCCACCCATTGTGTTTTCAGCCTATAAAAACTGGCAATATCTGACAAGGGACTGCCTTTATGTTTTTGCATCATTTGCCAACAGGCTTGAACTCTAAGGGTTTCTAAGGCATAGGCTGAGCAAGGTGACAAGGAACATGTTCATGTGAAAAAGAGAGTGTAGGGTTTTTCCTTTTTTTGGATGAATATAAGTTGTTTTGTACACCTTTAAAGAATTTGAGGACTTCGCTCAACTCGTATTCTCTGGGTGAGTGACTTTCTTGTGTAGATTTCTTACACTTTCATGTTGTGCTTTTGCAGATAAGAAAGAAACTTTAGCTAGAAGCATACTACAACATGTCTCAAGAAAAGTCGTAAACAGTCTTGGTGGGGATTTTAGCGCAAGAGTCATCACCTACCTAGTTCTGTATTAACTGTAACTGATACAAACCTTCAAGCTGGACCAGAATCAGGCATGCTGTAGCTGGGGCTATTGGTGACAGATGCACTAGCCGTTTAGTTTTTAACTTACAAAGATGGATTAGGTGAGCAATGTATCGACAAGAGAGTAACTTTGTAACATGTTAATTATCCTAGTTGCCCTAAAATGCACTTAGCATTACTTGAAATGTTCTCCAGATATTATCTGTGTGCTGCAAACCCATCTGAAAAGGATTTTTTTAAACAATTAAAATAGACATTTACGACAGCCTAATTTATATTTAGTACAACCACATATAGTTTTGTAGTCCATATAAGCTTCAAAGTGCAAGAGTTGACTTCAGGCTATCTTTACTTGCAGGAAGGAAGCACAAATCAAAACCGATCTGTTTGCTTTAATGACATTAAGATAGGTTAACGTAATGTGACTTCACACTTTGTTTACTCTTTACTACTTGAGGGTGTTTTAGGGAATCAACTGAACTTCTATCGTAATTACACTTCTAAATGCTCAAAGTGAAACACGTTTTCTCCCTGTATACAGTTACGTGCAAATGTTTGACCACCACTGGTCAAACTGCATGTTATATTGATTTTCTAAGTGAAAATAAGTCATCCTCTACATATTTAAATACTTTTCTGCTAATTTTAGTGCACAATTTAAATTTATTGGTTTAAACATGTTGGACAAAAAACAAAGCAGAAAATATAAAATGTGACAGCTTTTGCACAATCCACATTTTATGGTTTATTTTTACCTAATATGTTAAATTTAGCAAATAGTAACACAGTAATTGTGCATTAAAATGTATTAGTGTGTACTTCTTTTCACTTAGAAAATCAACAAAACATAATTTGACCAGGGCTGCTCAAACTTTTGCATACAACTGTATAATACAAGGAGGCGTGGGTATTGTGGGTTGGTGTAATATTTGCTTTAGTAAAAATGTAACTTTGTACTGATATCTTTTCTGAACAGTAAGGTTAATTAGTAAATATTTTCCTCACCCGTTATAAATGGCACCATAAAATAGGATTATTAATTTGTGCTGATCTCTATAAAGTCTGCTATACATACCCTGGATACAATGTCAGGTCAATAAATCACAACCAAGGTCAATAATAAATGAACAGGCACGGTGTTAGGCCAAGCCTCTGTTGCCTGGACCTACTTAATATCCACCCATCATAAAATAAAAGCTGATAAATAAAGTAAATTTAATTTAGAAAAAATAAGTTACTCTCAACAGCTGCAGAGATCAAATTTTAAGAGATTTTACTGCATGAAAGGGTTTTGAACAGCTGTTGATTTACCCATGTGAACGAACTGATCATAATGCCCCCTCTTATAAGTAATTTCTTATTTAGTTTGTGCCCACCACTCAGTGTGGCCATAAGCCAGCAGCTCCTCAATAACCTACTGAGAGGGAATATCTGCAGGCTCACCTCCACATCACTAAGCAACTACAAGCAGGTGTCTACAATGCTACAAGTTCTGTATTTTGTATGTTCTTTAGGGAATGCTAAGTTTCAGTATGCAGTCTTCGAGCACTCCGCTTGAAGAAGCAACCCAATCAATAAACTAGATAGGGCATGGGGCAGATTTTTAGGCCAGCTTTTTCAACAGGGGTCTGTTTCATGAGTACCTTTTGATACTGATAAAAGATTTAGTTGATCACCAATACCCTTCTGCCTTTTTCACCTTTTAGCCGACAGGATAACAGCTTCATCAGTACATGGATACATCATCATTACAAGACATGGAGGCTGCAAAATCTCCACCCATGATCTCCTTGGAACGCAAGGCTCGGCCAAAGAAAGGACCAGCAGAGATCTTTAAGACCAAACTGCGCCGTCAACTTTCTTGTTCGGTGCCCAAAGTAAAGAGCACACTAACAGACTTCTTCCCTGTGGTGCTCTGGTTGCCAAAGTATAAGATAAAGGAATATGGATGGGGTGATCTGATGTCAGGGCTCATAGTGGGGATAATTTTGGTCCCTCAAGCCATTGCTTACTGCCTGCTGGCAGGCCTAGAACCCATTTATGGTTTATATACATCCTTTTTTGGAAATATCATCTACTTTATCTTAGGCACATCCAGGCATGTATCTGTGGGTATCTTCAGTCTCATGAGTTTAATGGTGGGGCAGGTTGTAGATCGAGAAGTCTATCTGGCAGGTTTTGATTTGAGTGATGAGAGTAAGCAAAGCTCCTTGGACAGTGAATGGAACATCACTGAAGACTACAGCAAAACTGCAATTAATCTCACCATAAAGGCCTTCAGTATGGAGTGTGGAAAAGAATGCTATGCTATCAGTATTGCAACTGCATTAACATTCCTTGCTGGAGTTTACCAGGTACCTCCTCCTTTCATTACACAAATTCCAAGTTCTAAAAATAACTGTTTACTGTGAAATCCTAATATGCTACATTTTCTCTCCAGGTACTAATGGCTGTGTTTAGGATGGGTTTTGTCTCTGTTTACCTATCTGCGCCAATGCTGGATGGCTTTGCCACTGGTGCCTCATGTACCATCCTAACAGTGCAGGTTAAGTATCTACTGGGCCTCAAAATCCCTCGCCACCAGGGCTATGGAACAGTGGTGGTGACTTGGATCAACATTTTTAAGAACATACACAACACCAACTTCTGTGATATGATCACAAGTGCTATTTGTGTTGCTGTGCTAGTAGGAGGGAAAGAGCTCCAGGAACGGTACAAGAATCGTCTGAAAATGCCACTGCCCACAGAACTTGTAGTAGTGGCAGTAGCTACCATAGTGTCCCATTTTGCTGATCTCAATGGACACTACAGCTCTAGTATTTCAGGTGCCATTCCAACTGGTTTCATACCCCCACAGGTCCCAAATTTTGAACTGATGCCTAGGCTAGCAGTTGATGCCATTCCACTGGCTGTGATCAGTTTCGCCTTTACCGTTTCCCTGTCGGAGATGTTTGCTAAAAAGAATGGATACACAGTTAGGCCAAACCAGGAGATGTTGGCGATTGGTTTTTGTAACATTATTCCATCCTTCTTCCACTGCTTCACCACAAGTGCTGCTCTGGCCAAAACTATGGTGAAAGACTCAACAGGTTGCCAAACACAAGTCTCTAGTGTAGTAAGCGCCTTTGTAGTGCTCTTGGTCCTTTTATTTTTAGCCCCATTTTTCTACTCCCTGCAGAAGTGTGTCCTTGCCTGCATCATTATTGTCAGCCTGAGAGGCGCCCTACGGAAATTCAGAGACTTTCCCAGGCTTTGGCGTCTCAGCAAGATTGATGCAATTGTCTGGATGGTGACCATGTCTTCAGTTGCTTTGATCAGTGTGGAGATTGGACTACTGATTGGGGTAGTCTTTTCTATGATTTGTGTTGTGGCTCAAACCCAGTACCCCAAGGTTTCACTACTGGGTCAAATCGAGAACACTAATCACTATGAGGACATGGGCGACTACAACAACCTTTTGAGCATTTCCAAAGTAAAAATTTTCCGCTTTCAGGCTCCCCTTTACTATGCCAATAAAGACTTTTTCTTAAAGTCATTATACAAAGCAATTGGACTTGAGCCATTCCTTGAAATAACTCGGAGGAGAAAACTAGAGAAAAAAGCAAAAGAAAGAGCTGCAAAGAAGCCTGATGAAGATAATGGTGATGTAAGTATAGGTCTAATAGCTAATGAGCTGGATTTCCATACCATAATCTTGGACTGTTCCTCCATGTCCTTCATTGACACTACAGGAATTACCACCTTAAAAGGACTGTTGAAAGAATATAAAGAGGTTGGTATAAATGTAATCCTAGCTTGCTGCAACACAAAGGTCATAGATTCTTTGAGACGAGGTTCTTTCTTTGGTTCTAATGATAAAGAAATGTATACAATGTCATTTCACACTGTTCATAGTGCAGTTTCTTTTGCCATTGATGATGCTGCAGCTTCAGTTAATGCTTCATCTGTGTAATCTGTCTGTAACCTGATTTAAATAGATCGAGAAATAGATAAAGAAATAGATAAAAATCTAACAATCTGAAACAGTTATCAAATACACACAAAAATATCCCAACTATATTCCCAATAATGTTACTGACCCATACTACCATTAGCCTACAGTGAGGGGAAACAAGCATTCAGACACTTTTCTTTTTGTTATGTAATATACTTCCTGTGCATATGTTCACTGCAAATTTACACACATGGTGTCGTTTGACTTGTACCTATGAACGAAAATTAAGAAGTTTGTTTTTATGGTAAGAAGTAATTAGCTTCTTGAAGCATTGTGGTTCAATTTTGGCCCATTCCTCTTGGCAACCCGTTTTCAATTCTTAGAGGTTATGAGAGTCCTTCTGATAACCGTTTCTTTGCAGATGAAATTAAATTCTCCTCTATTATGTCCCAGTACATCACTCCATTCATGTTTTCTTCTATGACATGCTCCATACTTTACTGAAGCTGTGGTGTTCTTGGTATCAAATGTGCAGCCCTCCTTTCTAGCAACATGACAAACTGAATTATTGCCAAAGAGTACATTGTTCCAAGGGAGTTCTGATTTGTCTAAACATCAGTGTGCATATTTTAGACATGGATCTCGAAGCTCCCTTTTTCACAGAGTCCTGCAAGACTTTTGGAGTGTTCCTTCCTTATCTATATTTGATGTTGATATATGCACTGAAAGTATATTAAGTAACAAAAACAAGAGTGTCTAAATACTTGTTTCCACTATGCTTTTAGAAACTAAACATTTTTATATACAGCAAATAATTTACTACAGCAGAAGGAAACCTTCACAGCATAAATAAGCCCAACACTGTAACAATTTCTCAACACTGTAACAATTTCTACCGATTAGATTTTTTTCTTACTTTTTACTGCAAGGAGAGATGTGACTGTGGTCACTGTATGTACGTAACCTATTGTATTGTATATGCCTAATGTGAATCCATTTTTGTATTATTGAAAAGGAAAGATCTTTCTTTTTGTATGATTTTTATTTGATATCTGTCTAATGGCAAATAATACTTAGTAGAAACTGTGACTGATGATCTAGTTTATGACTCAGAATAACCATTATTCTCTGCTGATGAAATCAAGATCTAATAGAATTCCTGTCTGTTCGTTCAACTGTTAACAGATGTTTTTGATATTATTTAGTGATGTCTGCATAGTTTGTTCTTTGGAGTGTCCAATAAAAAAATCTCCTCTTTTTACACTGATAATAAACAAAGGCAACAATGGATTGCTGGAGATTGTCATTCTGTAAAGTTATAAGGTTATTAAACAGCCTATGCTCATTCTTAGTTAAAATTCTAAATTATATTACTCCAGTATATTGCACCCCTTTTTATATCTAGGGCCTTAAAAGGGATTCACACCCACAAAGCCCATAGGATTCATTTCCCTCTCTAGTGAGGAAGTAGGGTAGTAACTGTTTCAAACACAGCACAGTCACTTTACTTTAGCAAACGACATAGAATAGACAAGGATAGAACCATTCTTTTGCACACTACAAGCACAATCAATGAGACTGGCTCTTCTAAGTTGATTCATAGAAAATGCACTGGATGAAAATGCAGTTATACATAACTTATGACAGCTAGCAACTGGGAAGATTATGCAAAGCCAGGACTGGGAGTTGAAAACAAAAACAATTACACTACGCTTTTCAGCTGAGCCACTAGCTATTATAGGCTTGCACATACCTTGTAGTAGTGATGTACCATACAATACTTACACCAACAAAGACAGAAGGGAAATGGAGCTGATGTCAAATCAGATCACTGACCCTAATATTTAGAGCGCACTGGATTCCTCACTTCTTGTACAAACCTGTGAAGGAACAGACAGTGACACTTTTGTAGTGCTCAGCAGTTTGTCCATTTTAACAAGTGAAATAATGTTATGGGTAATAAGTAGTCTACAAGCAAGCAGTCATACTGCACTGACTGAACCACAAAAACACGTCTGCAAGATATTGTGGAGCCTAGCCAACATAATTGTTTTGCCTACCAAACAATGAAATCAAAACAACTTTTGACTCAGCAGTGGAGAACATTATTTGCACCATGCGCAAGTTCATTTAAAACACAGTGCAAACCTGCTTTAAAAAAACAGAGTCAGAGGCAGACAGTGGTATAGTGATACAGACTGCTAAAGGCCAAGAAGGGTTATGTCACAGCAATGCTTATTCACATCTTTATTAACAACTGTGGTCACTTGCATAAAAGATCTTAAGCAAATATTGGCCATACTGTGTCCCTTTTCCTTAAGTGAGCTGTGTAAAATGGTTAAGTGGAATGTGAAAAATATCCATAACTGTAAAAGTTTTGGACTCTCTGTTTCAGCCCCTTAGGTTTTACAACTTGAAATGTATCCCTTAAGCGTTTAACAAAAATACTTAAGATATATTGTTTATGTATTCACTGGCCAGTATAGCAAAGTTTACATTAGCCTGTTTAAAACTCAAGGTCCCTTAACTAGAGTTGCCACCCACCCAGAATAATTTTCCTGGATTGTGGTTGTCATTATTACAGTCCTATCCACAAAATGTCACCAAAACTTATGAAATGTAATTCTACTTTTTTAAATCTAATCAAATCATCTCTATACAAAGAGTAAGTATAATTGGTTCAGATTAAACAGAGTTTAGGGACAGCCGTTTTCTAAAGGTGCACTATTAGTGAAATGTTTAGCCGTTAGCCACCACTGCAACGCGCTAGCTTAATAAGATCAGGTTCTGTAGGCTAGTCGAACTGAAATGTTTCTAGCAATAATCAAGCCACTGGTCGAATGTCCAGGTATTTTACTGGGCTGAGGTGGCAACTCTGCCCTTATCACTGTAATAAGAGGAGAAACGGTAGTTACTTGTAGCTCAAATGACAAAACACGTCTAGCACAAAGCAACAACAACTGATTATACGTGCCACAGACAGCCTGAACATGCGCCTCTGCTCAGTAACAATGCCTCTGGAACTACCCAGTAGGCGGCAGTAATATGGCCTGCTGAGCTCAGCCTCTCAGGAAGCCCTAAGGAAGAGACAAAATTCAAATTTTAGCGGTAGCGTTAGTGTGTGTTGTTCGGCTTGGGGTGGAGGTAGACACAACCCTTCAAACACTCATTTCCTTCGGTTGGTTTTGTGCACAGGAAAAAATATAGGTGTCGTGAACACCTAACATAAAATAATGGGCAGCCGAAGAAGGTGAGTTTTTGCCTCGACATGCGACAGGAACACCGTATTAAGTTAGAATATAACTTACCATCAGCAAAATTGCGGCGAGCCATCAGCTAACGTTAACGTAACGTACCAGTCTGGTTAGGTAGCTCTAGTCGAGTTTGCTGGCAGTGTTTTTTATTTATTTATTTTATTTTTTTATTTTATTTATTTTATTTTATTTTTGTTGCTAGCTGTTATTCAGAGTTTTTTTTCCCACACGGAATTTGAAAAGAACTATAGCAGTTAACTTGCTCCTGTATTTCGACAGTTTTCGAGTTTGTGTGTTCATCGCTCCGTGTTGTGGTAAAATTGAATTTCAGTTAACGCAAACTGTTCGTTCATGTTTTGAGTTTGTTTGAACGTTACACGTTCGCGCGCACGAGACGTTTGTTTGTTTGTGTGTTGGTTGGTTGGTTGGTTTAGTGAGAACATAATGCTACTCTGTCCGAAATAACATTGAGGGATTATTAGCCCTTTTATGTCAAACAAGTAAATGTAGCTAACTACAATTATTAAAAATGCTGATTGGTTAATGGTAATTTTATGTAGTTCCACCTTGGATGAACTTCCAAGTTAGTTCCCATTTTAATGTCTTCTTGCAAGTTTTTTTACGATTGGATATTTTGCTATTTAAAAGTCAGCAGTTCCATGGCTATGTTAGCTAGTTACTGAATTTAATATGATGAATTAAGTGGCAAAACTCAGCCATATGTATTGATTGATTTTTGAAAAATTCCTTCACATTTCATCTAAGGCAAATTCAGAACATATGGGCAAAATGTAACATTTCACACATTAGCTATGGTCCATTAATAGGTGAATGAACTTTGGTAGTCACCTGATGGGCTAAATTGCTATCTAAAAAATAAAAACAGGTTCATTTTAACATGCAGTGAAGCCATGGCCTCTTCACTTGTGACTGGGATAAACCATGCTATGGCGAGGCTGGTGGACATATGGGACAGTATCGGCATCATGGAGGATCAGAGGATTGAACGAATGCAGACCGTAAAGAAATACATTGAGGTGAGCTGCAGCGTTTATGCGTGTTTTCTTCTTGCACTTTTGTTTTCTCCATTTCACATTCCAAAAATGTTCCACACAGGACCTTTTGACAGACATGATCACCGAAGAGGAATCCCTGAGGCATCGTATCAAAACCAGTATCATCACTACTCAGAAGCAGTTGGAGACACTGTGTCTTGAGTTGTCTGTGGAACCATATAAAGTAAGATTAGTGCCTTTGATCCGTAAGGTCTCTGTCTTACCATTGCAAAACAGTATATGATAGCTGAATTCACACTTCACAGGTAGAGGAAGACCTGACAGTCCTGCAGATGGAGAAGAACCTCCGCTGTCGTTTGGAGGTGCTCCTCAAGGAGAAGAATGAGCGGATGAAGGAGCTGAATGGCTTGAGGCAGCAGGATGAGGAGCTATGTGTGACACTATGTGCTACACCGTACTACATTCCCAGTGGCAGCATGCCCTCGCGCACACAGCTCCAAGAGCTCAAAGAGCATATAAAGAAACTGACCGAAGAGAAGGTAACAAGCAGTTATGGTGAGACTCTTCTCTCTGGCTTCTAGCTATGTTTGTTCTTTCCTTCGCCTCTTCTTCTTTTGCTCCTCTAGGGGTTTGGAAAACTTTGAGCTTGAGTAATCATCACTCACCACAGGATCTTGATTATTAATCACTGCTGTTGCACCGTCCCATCTGTTGGTGCAGGAGAGCAGGGTGAAGGTGTTCTCTGGGCTCAGGGAGGACATCAGGAGCCTGATGGATGAGATGGGCCATGAGCCTGAAACCAGCTTGGAGAGAGAGTCTGTGTGCTCTGATACGGACATCTTCCTACTTACACACGAGAACATCAAAGCTCTGAAGCTGCTGCTCAGTCAGGTGTTAAAGTGTGCACTTTTTAGTGTGTACAGAATCTTTTATCAGGGGTGGGCAATATGACATATTTATTGTTGTTGTGATAAATTACATCACTATGTTTTTCTGAGCATATCATGCATATTATCAGATCTTGATCAATGCTATTTCATTGCAAAGAGATCATAATTAGTTCTATTTAATTAGTCCTGGATTCAGTGCAGTTCCGTATATATAACATTACATAAAAATAATTACTTGGCACTGGTAGTCAGTCCCAAAAAGAATTGATTCCTTGATTCCAAGCATTTGGGAATCAAGTCGACTCCAAAGCTTTGGACTCATTCGGCTCAGATTTGCCCGCACCAGCACACACATGGAGTGTGAGATATCCTACTGTCACTGGCTAGACAGCTTGTCTGAAAAATACATCCTTCCACAACTCGCACATCAGCAGTCTAGTATTTTTGCCGTATCGCCCACCCCTACTTTAATCTTTTCATGCTTTCAGTTTTTGTTGTAGTAATTACATATTTTAAGCACTTCAAAGTGCCTGACATGATTGTATGTAATCTTTCTAATTCTGCATCTTTTTCCCTGTGTAGCTAGAAATGAAGAAGGAATCCCTTATTTTAACTCGGGACAAGCTCAAAGATCGAGCCATGAGCCTGTGGAATCGCCTGAGTTGTCCAGAACAGGAAGCTGCAGAATTCAAACAGGAAGCACTGAATACACTTTCTGATGAAATTAGAAGGGTAGAAACTTTAAAAAGGCTTCAGTCCACTATCTGTAATCAGTTTTTAAACAGGATGATGACTCATGGGTTTATCTTTTGCACTAAACACAGTGTCTTTGCAGTGGCAGAACGTTGTGGATCGTCTGGAGGTCCTCCAGAGGGCCAAGTTGGAAGAGGTGATAGACAAAGTACGACAGGAGCTTGTGATCCTCTGGGACAAATGTATGTTTGGACCAGAGCAAAGAGAAGCTTTCGGTGCCCACTTCTGTGATAGTAAGTTTTATTATTAGGGCATATTAGGATTGTGTCTGAGAATTGATTCATCCCAAAGTCTCAGAAGTTTCGTGGAGCAGGTTCTGATTCTTTTCACTCTTTTGGTCTTGTACTCTTATTCAGATAATTATACTGAGGAGCTGCTCTCTCTGCATGACCGTGAGCTGCTGAAGGTGAAGGAGTTTTATGAGACAGCACGTCCATTACTGGAAAGCATTGAAAAATGGGAAAAACACTGGGCTCTCTTCCAGGACTTTGAGGTGCTCACAGAAAACATTCCATAAAATGTCTGTTAACCATGTTGCTATAGTTCAAGTATTTAACCGACCTTTGCCATTTTCTTATGAGTATGTAAAGTGTTGTATTTGTGTGCTGTTTCATGCAGAGGAAGGCTGCAGATCCGAACCGTTTCTCCAACAGAGGAGGTGCTTTATTGAAGGAAAGCAAGGACAGGGCCAAAGTGCAGAAAATTGCTTCCCAAGGTACTCTGTAGTATTCTGTAGCACTAGAGGTGTAAGAATGCGTTGGTCTGAATGTAGTAATTCAGTTACATCAGTTTTGGAATCTTAGAGTTAGGGATTATTGCTGATGTACATATCTGCCATGCATATATGCATTTTTTTTCTACATTTTTTGAAAGGATGTCTGTGTTAGCCTTAGGAGGAAGTGTTACATAGTTAGAAATGCAATGAAATAATTAGTGTTTTAGTGCAGCAGCACAGTGTCATGGTCTAATGGTACAAAAGTGATTTTAATATTATTGTGCATCCCTAACTGTAAGACATTACAATGATGCTCAATACAGCATGCTCTCATTTCTTGGCCCTTTTTTGTTTGTGTTTGTTTCATGACTGTGTAAATAGTTTCTGCTGTCATACTTGTGTTTAGGGTATTTTGTAAATACAATTCAGAATTGTACCAAATAATCAAATCATGGTTCAAACCTCCATGATGAACTGAATCGTGGTCTAAAAATCTTAGTTAAATCATTGTGGGATCAGAGATTTACACTCCTCTCTAGCATGACCTGTTAATAGAAAGGCCTAAATTGCTGCAAGAAGGGAAACATGGACCAGACATCACATGACTACCCATGTGTGGTTCAGGTATGATTGTACTGTTAGTGTCTGCAGTACAGTAGTAATTGTATGTATGTGCACATGCAGCTTGAAGAGGAGCTGAAAGCACGTGTAGAGGCTTGGGAGAAGAATCAAGGCTCCTCCTTTCTAATGAAAGGACAGAGGATCATGGAGTACATTTCCAAGCAATGGGAAGAACATCGCGTACAGAAAGACAAGGAGAAGAACGAACGCGTGAGTTCTGTAGGTTTTTTCTATTGTTATTTTATTTATTTATTTTTTTTTAAATAAACGCCTTACATGGTTCCTGCTGATCCTTCAAGGTCCTGAAAAATAGAGGCATTGAATTCTAAGATGACGCCTAAACAATGTTGAAAAACATCATTTTGCATATTAAAATCGTTCAGAAAAGTCCGCCAGCCAAAAACATCCACTTGTGGTCAGAAACGGACCAATGAGGGTGTAGGGCTAGAGGTCCTGTTCACTACCATTCATAATTTTGGAATCACTTAGCATATTTTTAATATGCGTAACTTATCTTATTATAATAACTTATCTTATTATAATTTATTATAACTTAATTCTATACTTTCTAATTTTCTCAGTCATTTTAGGCTTCATCATTCTGGACTTATCAAACATTTGATTTTTATTTACAGGCCCTGCTATGTATTTGAAATCTAAAAAGTTGCACAGTACTAGCAGATCTGCATATATCCACTGTTAATTTTCATCCAATCTGTTTGAATAAAATAGATATTAATATGTGCCGTTTTGAGTTGTTCTTCCTTTTATGAAATCTTTAATGTATTAAAGCGTTGATTTTTTTTTTCATTTTTAAAAATTGTGTATCACTAAAATATAATTTTGCTACACAAGGAGCCTTGAAATAATATGATTTACCTTTGCTGAATTACAGATGTCCAAGAAAGCAGACACCTCTCAGTTTAAAACCCCCATTAAGAGGCCCCATGGACAAGCGAATAGTGGTGTGACCCCCAGCAAGATAAGGAAGGTACTGCAAGTAAACAGTCGTCTAAAGTTAGTTGTTTAATGTTGATCATAAACCCTTCCCTCATCCAATTCCTCATTCATTTCCTGTTAAGACGCCTAATCAGGCTGCACTCCGCACCACTACAATGAGCAGCAGCACCAGCAGTGTGTCCAGCACCTTCCTGTGTGTGCCCGGCAAGCCTCCACTCTCAGCCAAGGTAAAACCGCTACTAAAATGTCTGCTCTCTTTGTGAATTGGTTCTATTTCATACTGATCTGTAATGTGGAGTGGAAATGTTGTTCATAATATTAAGCACTTCCTTTGACTAACACTAGAGGGCACTATTGCCCAAGAATAAGAATGCATAAATGTGACCTAGCAGCTGTTCAAGTTCACATAATGGTCAGCTCACTAGTGACTGCTGGATGTCATTAGACAAGGAGCGGATGCTAAAAACACTGTTCATTTTGCTTGTCTGGTTTATGCTTTCATTGTTAAGAGGTTTATTGATCCAGTAAGACTCATTTGTTTGTTCTTCTTTGGTCCACCAGAGGACTAAGACTTTTGAGACTTGTCCAGGCCCCCGAACACCACTGCAGGAGTTCAACACGGATAAAAAGCCCGTCCCCATCAGCTACTCAGATTTTACAGTAAATAAAATTCAGTGCATTTCATAAGAAAGCAGTTTTGATTAATTATGATAAAACCACCTTAAAAATATTCATTTTTTTGTCTCTTACATTGAGAACATTATGTACTTTACAGTAGCAGTTATCTTGGTGGAGGTGTTTAAATGTTCTAATTTACACCATGTATATGAATTCCTCCCACAGAATGAGCTCTCCAGAAAGGCCAGTCACGATGCTGTTCTGAACTCCACTGTTAAAGACATGCTGTGATTTGTCTTCAAACTGTGGATAATTTTGTCCCCCCCCTCCCCCCCCCGCCCCCATGTCACGGGTCATACATAGGTCAATATCATGTGCAGCTACAGATGGAGTGGCATTGAATATTTCAGGGTGATTTTATGTACTTTTGGTGCAATGTTATTTTAAAGAGCTTAAGCATTTGTTGTATATGCAGTTTTATCTATACTTTTTTTATCTGGTTTGTACAATACTATTCTTTTGTAGGGGCATGCAAATATGATACATTTCAAATATTTTGTGCTAAACAATTTTGAAGCTGTATCTTTTCTGTTGAAAGCCAAATAAATATCTGAAATTCTAACACTTGTGTATGAGTTGACTCAGTCCATATGATCTTAGTTTAGTTGGTGGACATGGATACGCTAGGTAGTGTATCTTTTGCCTTACACAGTACTGGGCAAAAGTCAAAGCCCACTGCTTCATTTATTTAAATAACAATCGAAATGGTAATACAGTACAGGTAATGAATTTTTTAGGGTCAAGAAAAAGAAGCAGGAATTGTATATTTAACAGGACACAAAAGCCTCCAACACTAAGTGCGATACCAAATCTCAGTATTTTAATTTATCCATTTTTGTAAACATTTTGTGTAAAAAGTAATTTTTTATGGGCAGATAACTCTTAACAGGAATTACTTGGATTGTGAGAATCAGAAAATGCAACCAACTTCTAAGACTGAACTTTTGTGGCGTGGAAAAATATCAGATTTCTGTGAAAAATTGAAAGCAACTCTCCTGAAAAGAATGGAAGACAAAGAGTGGACACTACATAATTAAAACTATACCTTTTTGTGTGTTTTTTCCCCTGATACTGAAATATGAATAGCCTTTACTTTTTGACTGGAAATGAAATAAATGGCAGGGGGGTCTCTGAGTCTCACAGTGCTGTAAGGTTGGTTGGCAGAGAGTAAATGATCTATTTGTTTAGTGTGGGTGCGGATACCTCCAGTTATTTTACCTGTAGTCTGCCCGAGTCTACATTTTCCTTCCATAGTACTCCGTATACTTTGTATTTTAATTGTGATTGGGGTCTTTGATAGCTGTAAGCTGCTTTCTGAATGGTGCATCTGTAATTGGCTCATGTGGGCACAATGGTATAATGGTTTGGGCACTGTGTGTATTCAGGGCAATATGGAGCATTATGTAATTAACAGTTCATCATTCGGCTGTCTCCTCTGAACATCTAGCTGTCTAGGGAACATAATGAGGAGAAGAATGGTATATTAGTCAATCAAGGCGGGTTTGTGTAATGAATGTCACTAATTTCATTGGAGCAGTGAATAGATACAATACTGAGCACATTTTTCTCTTTCTTCCTTTCTGTTTTTTTTTTAATAAAACTTGGCCACAGCTACCAGATCTGTCCCACAGATAACATTAAACAGTATTTCAACACATAGATCAAAGAGAATACAAGAATGTATAATAAGAAATGTCACATAGTGACAGGTGTCATTGCTCCTCATTTTAGAAGCCGAATCTACACATTGTAAAATAAATAAAGCAGGAAAATAATGTCATGAACAAAGTACATCTACCCCAGACTGATCTTCAACTGAAAGTTATACCATTAACAATGGAAGTAAAACTAAAAAAATTTAATGACTTAAGCAGCTCTAAGTTATATTTTTATTACTTGCACATACTGTCGGCCTGTGCTGGTCTTACAGCGAGCCACATGGCTCGCCATGACATTGCAATAGGAAGTAGGAAACAGGTGAGATACACACTTGTCAGCATTTACAAAGTTTACAGTCTTGGGCAGATGCACTGTGCTGAACTGGATGAAATGCCAGTTACACAAATGAAAAATGGAGTGGCGAGAGCACCTCATGACCTCTTGAAAATATGTTTGGTCAAGAAGGTCAAGAGGTCAAAAAAAAGCTTTTTTTCTTTGAAGCATCCACTCCATTGTCCTCTGGCACTCGGTTTTGTTCCTCTGTGTATTGAGCTTCACTCGCATTCCTGAAGGCTAATTATTTTCTACATTCTATTGTACCTGCTTTAACCTTTTGTGTCTATACATGATCTCAGCGAGGCTTCTTCACAAGGTTCGTGCCTGCGATAGGTAAAATCCACGGCCATTAGAGCATTCATTTGTGTCTCATTTGAAGACGTGTCTTCCACCCACGGGTTGATGCTTGTTCATTGTAACAGCTTGTTGCCATCTGTAGGTCTGTCTTCTCTTTGCTATAAAACACCAGCAGAATCCTGCGATCCCTGTTCACTAGGCAGGATTCGTTTGCCATTGTCACTGTAGCTTCGGTTAGGAAGAAATGATAATCTGTGGAGAAACAATACTGATATTAGTGCTAGAGGTGCAAACAATAATGTGCCAACAGACACCATACACTTAATATCAAGAAATCACAATAGACAGTGATTTGAATGAGATGCAAAAGAGTGAACATGCAATCCAATTCAAGTAATGTGAGGAAGACGTAGAAGAACATGCAGAGAATGTAGTATTGAGTCCCACAAAATTCTCTGTCAGACATGCCAGAATAACGAAATCTAGAGTGTGCAATTCCGAACATAAAAAGGGTGACAGACCATACACGACACAAATATTATCTTCGGACAAGAGATTTTGCCAAAAAACGCACAATGAGCTGACGTATAACAGACATAATTACAAGGAAAAAAAATCTTAAAGGGCCCATATCATGGATAACTTTTCTCACTTTTTAAAATAAGAGTCTGATGGGCTGTAAACATTGTTAAATATTCAAAATATACCATTCACTCCCCAGCCCACCAGCCCATATAATATAAACACTCCCCAAACAAATTACATGTTGTGTTGATCTAACATGAATTAACACATCCTCATTTATTTATTTATTCATTTATTTGAGCTTAATGTTGGAAAAATATAGAATGTGATATACATTTTTCACAGGCACATTTTATATTTTTTCCCAACATTTGCAGAAGTGTGTTCTCTGTAGAGGATATGTTCACTTATTTTCACTTAGAAAATCAACAAAACATGTTATTTCACCAGGGGCACCCAAACTTTTGTATATGACTGTAAGAAAATTCAAACCACAAAAACAAAGGCAACAAAAACACAAAGCCTGTTTTGAATTCATAATTTTTATGATGTCGCAACACGTACACACCATTGCTGTTGGGACAAACCATTCTACCTCCATTTTTGTCATTTTTCTTTTTTTTTTTTGCGCATGTGAAAAGAACAGCTGTCCTTTATTTTGTGTTACAATTTTATGATGAATGGACCAAAAAAAAGCTCCAAAATCACTTGGCTCCATTAACTTCCATTCAAAGTTAAGATGATTTCCTTCTCCTGTAAAGTTGTCATTTTGTAGAGACAAGGTTTGTCAGAAAAAGCAATGACATGCACACCTATTCAATGTACAACGGTTTAGCCCTGCCCATTCACATTCAGTGTTTCAGTCCAGCCTGCTTTTTGAATGAGGTGCAATGAATATTTACATATATCAGTTTTAAAGCACAGTAATAGAAGCAGCCTATTTAATTGTAAGGGATAAAGACAGGTTTTAAAATGAAACAAATAAATCATGACAGTTTTTTGTACACAAAACTGCACAAAAGATGCAAGTAGACCTCAGGGGAAAAAAAACATTAGAAAAATGTAGGATATGGCCCCTTTAAATAACAAAATCTCTCCTAGTATGGAACGTCAACATAGCCCACATGGATGACCAGTGGGGGCTTTTCTTGAAGCAAGATTTCTCAGATTTCAGACTTACAGGAACATCCCTTCTTTGGTACTGTATCATAACTGAGAAATTCCTCTTCAGGAAATACCTCATATCACAGTCATCAAGACGACAAATTTAGCCACAACATAATCATGGTGCAGTACCTAGGTTGATGGGCCTGTCCATTGAATCTGTGTCTCAGGAGCTCCTGCAGAGCTGGTGAGGGAACCTCAATACAAGTGCTCCTGATCAACAACACAAAATACAACAGATAATCCTAGTTATGTTAACACCAACACTTAACCCTAAGTGAAACTAAGTTAACACATCCTGTACAGGGAACACACTTCTGCACATTTTAATGCACAATTACTTTTTATTTGCTGAACTGAACATATTGGGGGAAAAAAAAACATTAAATGTGTTTTGTGCAATAGTTATTGAACATTTTATGTTTTATTTTTTCCAATATGTTCAATAGAAATTGTGCACAAACATTTGCAGAAAAAATCCATATTTAAGTGTGTTCTCAGTAGAGGATGTATTAACTTTGTTTTCACTTAGAAAACCAACTAAACATGTCATTTGACCACAGATATTCAAGCTTTTGCATGCAACCGTATATGCGTAAGGTATACTTTATCTACAACCAACACAAAAAGAAGGCAGTGGTATTAATCTGGCTGGAAAAAACAGTATGCAAGAGAGAACTGTAAGCAGAAGTCATCTAAATTTGGCCAGAGAGACACGTACGCTGCTCCTTATCAGTTTCATCAACACATCTGCTTTTCTTTGCTCTACTCCACATTTGCCTTTTTGGCTGGAAACATTTTTTTTTTCCCTCCAGTAACCCGACAGCAGCTAAAAAGTCCTGCCATATTATGAAAATAGATCTGACCTACTCTGGGTCCCAGTGTGGAAGGAGTGCAATATTTTTTTTTTCTGGAAACCAAATTAATTATAACGTATCTGAACGCAATAAAGCCACACACGCAGCATAACAGATCATTCAGAGATAACATTCCGAGAGAGAGTCATCTCAACTGAAGCTCATGACTCTGATCCAAAACCATTAAACACAGTTTATCCTTGTTCAGGAAAAACATTATGCAAGAGCGTTCACAGACTTGCATGAGAGAACCATTTTTTTCTTTTTTCTTCTATCATTTTCAATGGAACGCTCCACTTCCTGCCTTAATGTCTGTGCCTGTTTCAATGAGATAGCCTAGAATTACTGCAATGCTCTGAAAAGTCCAGATGAAGATACTTCTAGTAGAAAGAGTTTTGGTCCAATTAAAGCATTACATCAAACAAATACAGCAATTCTTCAGTGTTTCCAATGAATACGACCAATAGAAATACCTTCTGGCTGCGATTAACAACTCTAAGCAGTGCTAAGGTTTTCTCCACTCCACCTGAAAGTAATCTTTGCTCCATTGCTTTTGATCCATTCCGGCTTTTTTCTCCTTCACAGGCAGGGGTTAATTCTAGAGACTTTCTTTAGAGTTATAGTATTGGAACAGTTTTATGGTGGACTTAAATTTCATACTGCAGTCTGGAAGTTAAGCCCGCTTGAATTACTGAAGGAACCTGATACTAAAACATCATCAGTCATGGAGCATCAGAATGTGGTGCAGAAACTCTAAAAGTATCACTTCGTGTGTAATATCTCAGCGCTCGCTGCTGAACCTCAGCAGACCTTTGACACACACTGCACAGCTTCAGCCGGTCAGACTTGACACAGTTCATTCTTACAATAACTTACAGCAGCTTGTTCCACATTACATTCCTTCATTATCTGTTCTACACTGTTAAAATTAAAAGTGGAGCTCTGCCATAGCAGAACAACATTTGGTTCCCTTTATAAAACTCCAGGGAACCTAAAGTCATATTTTCTTCCTCAGTAGGTTGTTCTTGTGGACACACAATATACATGTACATTACTTTCCAAAACCCAGTAAAAGGTGATTTCACCAACATTCTCCTCTTTCAGTGTAAACTGGGCAGTGCTAATCTTCGTCAACGTTTACGTAAGCAGAACCCTCACCAGTCACAAGGTTGATGTGGCTATGGTGTTACCCTAGAGTCTCTCATTAAAGTATGTATAGAACTTAGCCTGCCAAGCTAGCTCATCTGTCATAGAGCCCCCCTCCATTCGTTACAACCTGCTTTGGGGGGGGTGGCAGTATGAGAATTTTGGACTAAGGGCATGTCAATCACATGTGCTCATCAGAATATTAGGACAACGCCCAGAAAGTTCGCACACTGGTCTGATCAGCATTTTTTAGGTTGTGTTTAATTCTGTTTTGTTGTTTTCATGTGAACTTTGATGGAGGTTTAATATAACACCAAATTTTTGTATCATACATTTTTTATATTGTATAGTGTGTTTCCTGGGACTTTAAAGAATCATTTTTGTAAATGAGATATGAGTGTGAAGAACCTAAGGTTAAAGAAGTTCAACGTGATGTAAAGGTTCTACTAAAATTATATGTCACATGTTCAAGCTAAGAATTTATATGATTATTTAGGAACCTTTATTTTTCAGAGTGTAGAGTACTTTTAGTAGCTTCTACCATGCAGGAAATGTAAGTATGTAGGGGTGGGCAAAATGGTAAAAATATGACATTCTAATATTTCATGTTTTTTTTTTTTTTTTTTTACGATACATGCTCACATCAAAATATTTAGCTTTTCTGAGGTTTGATAAGTTGGAACAGACAATAAAACAAATGCAATACTGTTTAAGAAGAATTTTCTTCGTAAAACTCACACAGTTTTACGATGATTCTGCCTTTCACCAATGTTTTTTATTTGGAATTTGTTCTTAGGTAAGAACAGAATCTATACACACTTAATAGCACAAAGGTGCGAACAGTTCTGTGGTTTAAGAACACGTCATGAATCTGATGTAAATTTCTTCTTAGGACCTTTCTCAAGAACAAATTAAAGAAAAAACATAGGGAGATATTGATGAATAAGGCCCAATGATTTTTATCCGGTGTTTCACATTCACATGTCACTAATCCAGTCAAACAGGATTAGTTATGCTCTCTTTGTGATTACACATGCAGTTGTTCAGTGTTCTTTAAGTACTGATAATATCAATGATATGCTCAGAAAAGCATACTGTGACATAATTTATCATAATAATGATACTGTAAATATACTGCCAACTCCTGCTTACAGGAAGGTAACAGTATCCAGTGCATGCATTAGTTCATGCCCTTTATTTTATTACAGCTTCACATAGTAGCACTTTGGCAGTGTACAATCTAGAGTGAATGTTTAATAGATTGGAGCGTACTTGCGGCTGTACAGGAGGAGTATAAAGTGATTGACTTGTGTGAATTTGCCTTGTAGAAAGCTTTGCTAAATTTTGGTAGTGCATGACTGTGGAATTTTCAGCCTGGCTGCTAAAGAAGCCGCAAAGTTCATCTTGACGTTCGCATTTCTCATGCTCACTTTCGCCTCTTCCTCTCTTCCCCCTGTGCAAACCGACCAAGTCCCTAACAGTGTTCCTGTTACAACCGTTCAGAGCAAACACGCAGCCATACAGACATGCATGGCTGCAGTTACTGCACGGCACACAGCTCACATGTATTTGACTTCACAGGAACAGCATGTTTACTATCCAAGAGGCCTCTCAGAAGTTTCTTTCATGGATCACTCCTTGTGCCAAAGTAAGATACATGCAGTCTGCATCAACAACCATGGCTATTTTTCATCTTCTCTGAGATTATCTCATGAGGAAAGGGTAATTTGACTGCATCCCAGGGAAAGTTCTTCTTGACTTAAACTTGCAGTTAAATGCAGACCTTGCAGTTTGAATCCAAAAGCTTCTCCTGCTTTCCAAAACAAAATTGAGATCAATCACGGATGACAGCGTCTGAAGCTCCAAAGAATCTGAATCAAATTATCATCAAAACACAGTTCTGACTATTCTGACAGATGGAGGCCTGAGTAATAACTGAGAGCTGAAAGGCATGCTAGAGCTTCATCTATAGGACGGCCTACACCTGTTAAGTATAAGTAATATTAATATTGTACATTCTCAGAAAGGCAGTTGGGGGAATGGAATTATGGATTCTCAGATGAACTTAGCATAGCTTGAACAGAACAAATCTCCCCTGCGCAGGGTTAGAGCTCAAAGAAGAGCAGGTTGTTGGCACTAGATGAAACATACTGCAGTAGGTATTCTCTAATACAAAGTTAACAAACCAGATGTTCAGATATTTCTACCGTTAAGAAAATGTGCTGTTCTGTGCAACATTCAGAGACCACTCTTCATTTATTTCACATCCAGTCAAAATGGCCATTAAGTACAAGTTCATTTTTCAGTGTTAGGAAAAAAGCAGAAAACATATTTAGCAGAAAACTATAGAGAAGCCTCAACAACTAAATATAATATCAAATTGTTTTTTAAAGAAAATATGCAAGGATATTTCTCCACACCTGCAAAGTCTCTGAAGTGTCCAGACTGTTGTTCTGAGAATACCAGAAGCTTGTCTTTTTTGTCTTTTCTTTCTCTCGACACTTTTAGAAAAAATGGTATAATAAAAGTGCCTACCACAGTCATGAGGGGTACCACCCCAGTAACAGTACCTTTTTTTTCTGAGAGTGACATATGAAAGCTTTAAATACTGTTTATCTGATGGTGTCAGTTTTGGTGGTCTACACTGGTGTTGCACGGTTGTTAGGAGTCACATTTTTTCTTTTTTACCTTTTTTCCTTATGCAACTGGATTATCTTATATCCAATCTCCTCAGATGTATCTCCTTAAGCCAATCCTTAATGACCATTTTGACTGGGCAGAAATACATTCATGAACAGGCAAAAAAAAATGCAGTGGAAGAATGTGGAGATTATAGTTTAGTGCTTTAACTGTCACATAGAAGAAAATGAAAGACTTTCAAGGTACCCTCGGGTCAACAAGCATTTCTAGAAGGCATTTTTCAAGCCGTTCACATGAACCTTTACTATAATAAGACTCGGTGCGATAAGATCAGTAATCCAGTTCAGCTCAGTTCCCTCTTTTATGAGGTACATTATACTTATAATATCCAGTAATACTCCCCATATGTCAAAACAGATTCTCACGACTCATGTGTTTTGAAACGCATTTTCCAAAAAGGACGGCCCAGCTCTGTCTCAGGCGTCTTGTCTTTTGCCTAATACGAACATAGTGTTTCGACAGCAGGTCTCTGTGTCCAGATCAGATTTCCGACTTTGGTTATGAGTGCAG